TATCAGCTCAACTTTTAAACGATTACTTTCAGTCAGCCAGTCATCCGGGTGAGGTGAAATCGGTGGATGATCATTTCGAGATCTCTTGGTCAACTCCAAACATTGAAGTGACATACAATGAACGGTATGGAAACATTTTTACGCGAGAAAAGTGCTAGAAAATTTCCAGGATGATAGGGATAAAGTTTAAACAATGAAGTGCTACTCACTTTCCATCTTTTCACAATAGTATTGTTTCAATTTTGTCCTCATCAATCAGGAAATTGCTTTTTTTAGTGATGATTGTTTGGTGTTACGAAAGTTCACCTAGAATCTAACGTTTTAAAGCATTTTAAAGCATTTTAAAGCATTTTAAAACATTTTAAAGCACTTTAAAGCATTTTAAACCATTTAAAAGCACTTTAAAGCCAATTTCTAGCCCAACACGCGATCAGCTCAAATCGGGAGTTGAATATTTGGTGGAGAATGTGGGCGAGGTGGCGATTTCGGGTTGGAAATTGCAGATTGCCAGCGGAAATTTGTCAATAGATAGCGTTGAACAGGTGTGAGATTGTGTAAATGAAAAGTTTCAATTAATCGAAAAACATTTTCAGTCAACGAAAAGCCTGGAATTTCGTGAAGGTGCTCGAGTGTTGGTGAAATATTCAATGGTTGAGGATTTCTCCGGCCCATTCACCGTTTTGCTGGTGACGGATTCGGGACTGACAAGGGTGATCAGGTAATGGAAAGTAATTCAAGAAAGTAATTGAGGAAAGTAATTCAGAAAAGTAATCCATTATTTAAAAAGGCAAAAAGAAGAGAAGAAAATAAGACAAAATTTCTAAAATTTCAAGTTTTTCTACGATTTTCAATGCCTAAACTTAGCTGAATAGATGGGAATGGGTGGGTTTTAAACAAAACGCATTAATCGCGCATCAATCGCGTATTAATCAAGCATCAATCGCGAATTACTCGCGTATTAATCAACGATTAATCGTTCAACTTTAATCGCGGAGAACAAAGATCGCAGAGATCGCGGAGATCGCGAAGAACAAACACACACACACACACACACCGTCATTAGCCAGAGATTCACTGACTTTGGTCACTTGGTGACTGCGCGACTCGTGCCGAAGACAGCTTCAGAGTTCAGAGTTTGGCTGGGGCGGTACATCTGTCAAATCGTAACGCAGGTGTCCCAAGGCCGGCTCAGAGAGGACAGAAATCTCTCGTAGAGTAAAAGGGCAAAAGCTAACTTGATCTTGATTTTCAGTACGAATACAGACCGCGAAAGCGTGGCCTATCGATCCTTTTGAATAAGAAAGTTTCTTGCAAGAGGTGTCAGAAAAGTTACCACTTCCAACTTTGAAACCACCATTTGGAAATCAATCATCTTCATTTTGAGAAACCCAGCATGATTTCATTAAAGGCAAAGATCGCTAAGAAGTCTACCAAAATTTGAAACAAAGACTTTTTAAACGATACTTTCAAACTTTTCAAACTACCTTAGCCAGTCAAGCTGAATCTTCTCATCAATTTTCATTCAATCACCCCAATTTTTGTCTCATTCGATGCGGAATTACAAGGCTCAGTCAATGATACAAAAATTGGGTTGATCAAATGAAAACTTGTGGTAAGAGGATTACAGCTTTTCTAAAATCGATGCCTTTTTAGCAAGTCAATTCCTCATTATCGTAATTCTATTTATTTTAAAATCTAATTGATAAGCTCTTTCAGTAAATTCGCTTTGAAATCATTTTTCTAATCATTGTTCTAATCATTTTTCTATGATTTTCAGACAAGAAGTCCCGATGAGGCGCGTTTTGAAATCGCTTTCCTCTACTCCAAAATCTCTGATCGTTCCACTAATCTTCAACGCTTTACCCACCGTACAAGTAACTTTTAAAGTAGATAAATAAAAAGATAATTTATCTTGAATTATATTTTAATTTAGAATAACTTAGTGTTCTTGAATTAAACTTATTTCTCTATTGAATATTGAATTGAATCAGAATTTGAACACCCAGAACAACATGATTCATGCAAAAAGCCAACCAAACCAAGATCGACATGCTGGAGATCCCAAATCCGTCATGGTCTTTGTCGGAAATGAATTAAACTTATTTCTCTATTGAATATTGAATCTCCTTTAAAAATCAAAAACATCTAAATTTCGAGAAAATAGATTGAAACTGAGTTTTTTTTTACTTAAAGCTTGAGCTTTTTTTTTACTTTACTCTACTTAAAGCTTGAGCTGATAATTGTAGACATTAAAATTCTATGGAGAAGTTGAAAATAGCAAACTTAAACCCTAATTTATATAAAAAACTTTTTAATGTTACAGTTAAAATCCATCTCAAATTTTAACTACCTTATTCTCTCTAATAGTAGTGCACCCTGAGCGTCGCCTAAATTGCTCGAAATCTCGAGAACCGCTTATCAGAACCTATTGATGTGGGGTCGGAAAATGTAGCTGACGATGAGATCTAGTGGGGGAGTAGAGTGTTGAGCTTCTCCGAAAACTTTGGAAACCGTAAAATAGTCATGAACTCGACTCGACCGGGTGCACTACTATTAGAGAAAATACGGTATTCATTCGAAGTGAAACATCAACTTTGTCAGGGTTTTTGGAAACAAAACAAAAACTTTTCAAATTGCACCCCAATTTCTTTCAACTATTGTCAAAAAACGTTTTAAAAGTCGAAAAATCGCAGATACATTTGGACACAACGGACACCAAGATCTCATCGCCACTTCAACTCGGCTTCGAGACTCGACCGGAGCCATTTTATCTTATTGGATCCGATCCACCATTGAGGTGAGTAATTTTCATATTTTGTAAATGAATTATCAAATTTCAAATGTCAATATAAATTCTGTTATTTGTTTTTTAGTGATTTTGTCTTGTCGAAGAAAATAAGCTAGTTTCAAATTTTGGTAGATAATAACCAAGTCCGGAAAGGAGTAAGAGACGGGAAAAGTGTTCATCATCAAGCAAAATTTGAACACTCAGAGCAACAGGATTTATGCAAAAAGCCAATCAAAGCAAGATCGACATGCTGTAGATCCTAAATCCGTCATGGTCTTCGCAGGAATCATTTCTGATGAGAAGACTCCACTAATTTCTCTTCAACAGGGCGAAGACGCCACTAATTTCTCTTAAACTCAAATAATCATCTGGATATTTTAAAGCAGGAAGTGTTGCCTTGGGCACAAAATCACTTTGGAAACAAAATTGGAAAGGATGGATGCCTTCTCATAAAGCCTGAATTGTCCAAGACTAGTGTGAACGAAAATTCCCGGATTTCATTAGCTTTAAGCAGTGGACATCATCAAGCCCCGATTTAAATCCAATGGATTACTCAGTCTGGAGTGTTCACGAAGTAAAGCACATTGTGCCTACTCAAAAGCACATTCAACCATTTTTTGATTATTAGGTTGTCGGATTATGAATTGCCGTTTTTATCAAAAAGTAATTTTATTATAAAATCAATACAAAAATAATTTAATCTAAAAGGTATTCTCCATCGGTATCTATGACATCTCGCCAACGTCCACGCAAAGAATGAATGCCCTTGTTGAAGAACTCGACCGGCTGTGACTCAAAGAAATTGGCCACCCAAATTTGGACTTCATCGCGGTTTTTGAATTTTTTTTCGGCCAAGGAATGCTGCATCGACCGGAACAAATGGTAATCAGATGGCGCAAGGTCTGGGCTATATGGCGGGTGAGGCAGAAGTTCCCAGCCCAATTCTTCAATTTTTTTGAGAGTTACTTTTGCGGTGTGTGGACGCGCGTTGTCATGGAGCAATTTTGTTGACGCTGTTTCCACTCCCTGTCGACGAAGCGATTGATCGACGCGGCTTAATTGTTCTTTGTAGAGGTCCGCATTAACCGTTTGACCAGAATTTAGCACTTCAAAATGCACCAATCCTTTGCTATTCCACCAAACACATAGCATCACCTTTTTGCCATGGATGTCTGGTTTTGGAGTCGGTTTTGGGGTTTGTCCAGGGTCCAACCATTGTCGTTTTCTAGTGGTATTATCAAAGGATATCCACTTTTCATCAGACGTACAATCGACTCAAAAACCCTGTTCTTGGCTTGACGCAAAAGAATTCCGGCCATATTGATTCGCGTTGTTTTGTTCAAATCGCTTAGTTCATGAGGCACCCATTTACCGCATTTATTCACCTTACCAATGGCATGCAAGTGGTCAGCAATGGTGGAATGATGACAACCGAACCTCTCAGCAAGTTCTCGTGTCGTTTGGGCAGGATCAGAATCGATGGCTGCTTTAAGTTCCTCATCGTCCACAGTTTTTGGTCGCCTCTCATGTTCTTTGTCTTCAAGGCTCTCGTCGCCGTCCCGAAAGCGCTGAAACCAATTGCGACATTGACGTTCGTTGATAACATCTTCTCCGAATGCATTGCTTATAGAGCGATGGGATTCTGCCGCTGTTTTTCTTTGTTTGAAGTCGTACAACAAACAAATCCGCATTTTATTTTTGATGTCGTTCATTTCCTAAGACAAATTTATATTAAAAATCTAAGCAAATATAGACGAATAATATATCAATCGACGCGGCATAAAACGCTCTTTAATATAGTTAAAAAAGTACCACAAAAATTTATTTGAAAAAAAAATACAAAGCAAAAAAGACAACGGCAATTCATAATCCGACAACCTAATATATAGATGCTTTATTAAATAGCGACAAAACAAAACCACAATAATGACCCGGGACACCACTCAAAACACACCCAAAAGATAAATAGATACCTCAAGAAAGAATCACAGAGCAGTCAAATCAATTGCCGTCAATCAATTACCAAATCGATACCCAAGTATAGGTAGCCAAACTCTCCCTTGAAGCCAAATTCTCCCTTGAAGCCAAATTCTCCCAGTTCTTGGCTTATCTTGAAGACTCTTCCCAGCAGACTGAGAAGGAAGAGGGGAATTCTCAGCACCACCAACCTTAGTAGTCTTGTCTTGGGATTTAGTGTTAAAATCGGAACTAGATGGATAAAGGTTTAGGACAAGATTATATAATAGAAGGACAAGCTGGGAACGGAAAGTGTTTTCTGGAGAGTCGGAGTGATTTTGTTGTTGATTTTGCTGTTGATTTTGTTGTTATCTGAAGTTTTTTTTGTCGTTATCTCTCTTTTGCCCTTTCCTTAACTACAGATCGAATCCAAGACTAAAAGACTAAAAGACAAGACTAAAAGACCAGACTAAAAGAGATAAGACTAAAATATCCAATAGTAAGCATTAAAGAGATCAAAAGCTCTATCGCTTTTGTTTGCATTTACATCCATTTTTTTTTTGCTTGATCTTTTTTTCGTTTTAAACGTTTGCATAAATTAGCATAAATCTGCAACGTTTGCATAAATCTAATAAAATTCAATTATCATTGCTATAAGTGATTTTTGCATTTTCTGCAAGTGTAATTTTTCAGCAATTACGCTGAATACTCGGCAAATGATCGTGGTTTAACGCTTTTTCTCGGCGGGACACCGGACGGGAGTCGAGTCAATGGAACGATTCACATATTGTACCGGGGTGATGTGAGTTGATTTTAGACTTTAAAATAGTTAAAAACCTTCGAATTTTGTCCAATTTTTTACACAAAACAAGGACTTGGCTATTGGGAGAATTTGCACAGGGATATTTGCACAGGAAAACACTAAATCTCAACTTAGACTCGTTATTTTAGTTATTTGAGTCGATGCCATTAAAATTATTTGAGTCGATGCCATTAAAGTTATTTGAGTCGATGCTATTAAAGTTATTTGAGTCGATGCCATTAAAGTTATTTTAGTCGATGCGTTACCCCCGATTTTGAAACCTTTTATTTTTAAAACCTCTTTTTAACTAGAAAAATCGTTTTACAAAAAACCTTTTTTTAATTTTTATTATTTTTCGACTAATCTAATCAAATCAAATCAAATCAAATACTATTGGGTTGGGGAGAATGAGTCGGCGCCAAACTTTAAAGGGACTTTTTGCACACATAAAGCCTTCTTTAAACATACGTTTGGTTTCATCAAAAGGATCCACTATTTCTCTACAAAATCACTTTTGAGAGATTCCACAAAGCTTTTCTTTCGTGGAGTTTATGAACTTCGAAACGCAGCTGGTTAAAATGGCAAAGAGTCCGACTCATCATTTGAACAGTTTCTTTCACATAAACCTTCTTTGGTGTTTATATAAAAAAGATAGAGCACATTCAATTACTTAAGTTGCCAAATTTGCAGGAAGATCCCACCAATGGTTTTTTCTAGATCACAGTTTGTAGTTTTTGTGAAAAAATGGCTTTTTCTTGAGCGGAGGCGCTGTTTGAATTTTCTTTTAAATGTCATTTTGTAGAGAATTAGTTAACCATTCTACTCATATCAAACGCATATTATTTGACGAAGTCGAATAGAAGTTTTAGACATTTTTTTGATTTTCGGCGCCGACTCATTCTCCCCAACCCAATAGTTTTGTTTCAATTTAGTACCTTAACGAAAGATTTATCTCAAAACTATCAAAACTATCGCTTTTTTTATTTCTAAATCAAATTTCAAGCAATCTTTTATCAAAAGATTACAAAAGAAATGCATTTTTTTATGTGCTTATTTCTATATTTCTATATTTCTATTTTTTTCAGATAATTCTCCGAATTCCGTACACTTTCTCAAGGCGAGAGACCGATCTGTTCCCGTTAGCGATATGCTTACAAGTTTGTTGATTGTAGATTGTAAATTGTATTAGGTTGTTCGGATATAAACGAGCTACTGCAAAAAAAGATAAAACCAAATGAAACAAGCCGTTGATCACGAGCAGCAAAACGAAATATGCATTCCGTTGAAACATCGATTCCGGGAATTCATCTAAATACACTAAAAGTCAAAAATTCGTTTGCTTTTGGCTGAAAAATTTCAACTTTACTTAGCTATTTATTGAATTAATTTGCTACTAAACTACAAAAATCCTTTTTTTTTTTTCTAGGACGAGCAGTACTCGGAGTTCTCTTCAATCAAAACGAATGCCCAAATCGAGTTGGTGAACTCGACGAATGGAGTCGTGATGAATCCGAGAAGTGCCATTGTCAATGGTTTGTTCAGTCATTGTAAATTATAAAACAAGCTTGCCTGGATTGTTGTTCTGGATTGTTGCCTGGGGCCTTGCTGTTTCGTTAACAAAAGTCCTGACTGAAAACACTCCTGAGAATCTCGTGAGATCACTAGCGACGCAGCTTCTGAAGATGACGATGACGAAGACTTCGGACGAGAAAGGCTTGATGTTGGCCGGCGTTGGCTGCGGCGTTGGCCTTTTATTGGCGCGGGATACGGTAGTTTCCGCCAAATGGCGTGAAGACGTCTGGAAAGGCGTGGTGTACAGTAAGATGACGATGACGAAGACTTCGGACGAGAAAGGCTCGGCGTTGGCCGGCGTTGGCTGCGGCGTTGTCCTTTTGTTGGCTACGGCGTTGGCTGCGGCGTTGTCCTTTTATTGGCGCGGGATACGGTAGTTTCCGCCAAATGGCGTGAAGACGTCTGGAAAGGCGTGGTGTACGGTATGCATCGAATGGCATTCGTCGTCAGGATTCGGGTATATAAAGGGGAAAATTCTCTTCTCACTATCGACAAGAGGCTGGAATTACGGGGAGTTAATCGTATCGTTAATAAGTTAATCGTATCGAATTTTTACAAACTTTAAAAGATTTACAAACCAATTTTCAGCTTGATGTTTCAAAAAATCTTCAAGTTTCAAATGATTGGGGGAATCATTTGAATTCTTCCAATCATTTGAATAAAATTTTGAAGCCATCAAAATTCTCTTCAGGTTCCCCGCAAATCTTTACGATTTATCCAGGATTTTATCAATTGACTGTTACCGCCGACCAACATCAAACATACGAAGAAGCGATTTATGTAAGAGAGCTTTATTAAAGAGAGTTTTATTAAAGAGAGTTTTACTAAAGAGAGTTTTATTAAAGAGAGTTTTATTAAAGAGAGTTTTATTAAAGAGAGTTTTATTAAAGAGAGCTTTATTAAAGAGAGTTTTATTAAAGAGAAAATTTTTTAATTTACAAATTCTAAATGTATTTTTTTAAAAAACAGTGCTTAAAATCATTTCTCAATCAAAAGAAAAGCTTTTACTGCAGGTCACTCCATCAAATGACTCATTTTGTGTCCGTTTGGCTACAAAAGTCACAAATATTATGCCAATTTTCAACGGAAAGCACTTTTCAATTGATAAAATTGCGAAAAATCAGGTAAATTGAAAAAGAAAATGGTAAAATGAAAGGTAAAAATAGATCTTTTGATAGATTTGAGTTGATGAATTTATTAATTTGATAAATTGATGAATTAAATACAAAATTTTCACCTAAATCTGTTTATTTTTGAAACTCGAATTTCTAAATCGTTAAAGTTTTCAATTAAAGCTCAAACAGAGCTCAAATTTTCTAAAATTATAAAAATAGATAGAAATTAGAATAGAATTAGAATAGAATTAGAATAGAATTGGAATAGAATTCGATTAGGATTCGATTAGGATTCGATTAGAATTAGAATAGAATTAGAATAGAATTAGAATATAATTAGAATAGAATTGGATTAGAATTCGAATAGAATTGGATTAGAATTGGATTAGAATTCGATTAGAATTAGATTAGAATTCGATTAGAATTAGAATAGAATTAGAATAGAATTCGATTAGAATTCGATTAGAATTCGATTAGAATTCGATTAGAATTAGATTAGAATTCGATTAGAATTAGAATAGAATTCGATTAGGATTAGAATAGAATTAGAATAGAATTAGAATAGAATTCGCTTAGGATTCGATTAGAATTCGATTAGGATTCGATTCGAAATCTTCACAAATGAAAGACAAAATTTTCAGATTTCCCCAATTCCACAAGTCATTCTTTTTCCATCGTTCATCACCGAGAAAACTGAAGAAATCGAAGCGTTTATCGACGGGCATTTAACAAAAGAAACATACGTCTATTTTGATGAGATAAAAACTCAATTTTTAAACATTGTAAGTTAGAAATTGATTTACAAAAAGAAATAACAACCATCTTTTAAAAGAAAAATCAAATTCTCCCAGAAAAACATTAGTTAAAAGAGTTAGAAGAGAATTTTCTAAAGGTAAGTTTCAATTTGGGGGATGTTTCTCGACAAAATAAGAAACTAATGCCAATCTTTCCTAAATCTAACATGAATTTAAAATTTTACTTATCAAATGCTCTAGAAAGCTTCAACGTCAGCGATTTCCGTTGGTGATTCAGCAAAAATACAAGTGGATGCTCATTCTTTGAACGATTTATTCAAGTGAGCTCTTTTTGAATGGGATTTTGGCTACTTTGCGCGGTGGCTACTTTGCGCGGTGGCTACTTTGCGCGGTGGCTACTTTGCGCCAAATTTTTTTTGCGTAACTGGATCATTTGCCCAACTGGGTCTTTTGCGCAACTCGCCATAACTTGAATGAAAAAGAGATTACGGTGGAAAGAGAAAGGGGACACGGTTTAGTCGAGACAAATTATTCAAGATAATTTGATGGGGTAGGCTTTCGGACATTTTATTTGCGCAACTCGCCATAACTTTCTTCTAAATTGGCTAATCTTTATGATTTTGGTTTCATTTTGTAGATCTCAATAAGTGCAACAAAATGAAACCAAAATTATACCAAAACAACCAAAACATCATAAAGATTGGCCCACTTAGAAGAAAGTTATGGCGTTATGGATTCGGGGGTGGCTACTTTGCGCCAAATTTTTTCCGTAACTGGGTCTTTTGCGCAACTCGTCATAACTTTCTTCTAAATCGGTCAATCTTTATGATGTTGGTGTCATTTTGTTGCACTTATTGCTATCTACAAAATGACATCAAAATCATAAAGATTGGTCCACTTAGAAAAAAGTTATGGCGAGTCGTGCAAAAGATCTGGCGCAAACTAGCGATCCCCGACAAAGAATCAATAAAACTGAATAGCTTTTCTCTTGAGATCTCTTGAGAAAGCAAAAAAAAGTATTCAGTTTGTTAGCTGAATCTTTTCCTTTTTGTAGTTCATATTAAAAAGTTCCCTTTTCATTTTGAGCAAAATTCTTTGAAACTCGCTTTCTTCAAAGAAGATCTAGATCTTTTTATCTCCAAAGGCTTCTAGTTAAGTAAAAGTTTAGCACAGTCTATTTTCAGCTATGAAAATGTTATTCAGAGATCAATGCGATGCAATCATTTTCAATGTTCCTTATCACATTTCGAAGAACAATTCAGTCGATATTCTTCACAATACACAAGTGATCGTGGGAAAAACGGAGCAAGCGAGAAAGCTTTGCGATGGTTTGTTTACTAGTTTACTTTGTGCTAAAATGCTGCTGTGCTATGTGCTATGCTTTCTGGTGCACTTAATTTCAGATTTTTCTTTAAATCCTTCTTCATCTATCTGTTAAAATTGAAACTCATAATGACATCAAGTTTTAAATCTTTGTAACACTGAGATTGAGAGTTTTTTTGAAACAATTTTTCTTGTTATTCAATTTCAAATTTACTTCAGAGAATTTGCAAAGTGTTTCATTGGCGGTGAAGACGAGTATTCAGTGCAATTGCGCAAATGGAGTACGAGAGAATTGCAGGTATGAAAAAATGGGGAAATAGAAGTACTTTCTGGAAGTAGAAGGACGTTCTGGGAAGTAGAAGTACTTTCTGGAAGTAGAAGGACTTTCTGGGAAGTAGAAGTACTTTCTGGAAGTAGAAGTACTTTCTGGAAGTAGAAGTACTTTCTGGGAAGTAGAAGTACTTTCTGGAAGTAGAAGGACGTTCTGGGAAGTAGAAGGACTTTATGGGAAGTAGAAGTTCTTTATGGGAAGTAGAAGTACTTTCTGGGAAGCAGAAGCTCTTTCTGGGAAGCCTAATATCACAAGATTTAGACAAAAGTATACAAGTGCAATGGGATGTGGCGGTGGATGGAAAATGATTGCTGATGATACTGTTTCCCTGGAGAATTTCGCTATGGTATTAAAAGATCTGTATCAAAACATGAAATTCTAGATCCTCCATCTTGTCGCCGAATGTCAACAAATGCGGATCTATTTCGACGAGTTGAAAGGATCGATAAGGTACGAAAGATTTGCTATTTTATTATATGTTAATTCGCTTAATTTGTTAATCCTTGATAGCTAAATAATATTGTCAGAATCTTTTTTTCAAAGCCCAATAATTGTTTAGTTGTATTGCCTCATTGGACGCAGAGTGTCCTTTATCAAATCGACTGAAGCGTGAAATCTCGGAGAGTGAGGAAAAAAAGTGGTAAATGGATTGATTTGCTAGATTTAAATGGATACAATAAAAAGATTCTCTATAACGGAATGGAAGAGACCAAGAAATGTTTCCGTTATATAGAGCTTATATAGAATGCCATTAGATATAGCTTAGCGTTAGTCGGGACCAAAATTCCATTCCGTTCTAGCTTAGCGTCGGCCAGGACCAAAATTCCATTCTGTTATAGCTTCCATTCCGTTATAGAAAGTTTACTGAATTTAGTTGATTATAGGAGATAAAGATTAAATAATTTGGCTGGTTATTGTTATTGTTTTACTTGAAACGATCAATTTTTGTTTAGGCTAGAAGGAAATGGAGGACTGGAGATGTCCCAGTTTGTCCAGTTTGAGCACTTTCTTCAAAAGAAACCCATTTTGGGGTCAATAGAAAAGTTGTAGAGAATCAAAAATTAGGCTTATAGCCAAATTTCCAAAAAGATACACTTAGTAGTTTCGCTTAAAATGCAAGTTTTGTGAAAATTCGTAAATTTGGGCATTTCTTGAAAACCAGTTTTTGAATCGTTCTGAAAATTTGGATATAAGCTTGATTTTTGATTCTCTACAACTTTTCCATTGACACCAAGATGGGTTTCTTTTGAAGAAAGTGCTCAAACGGTCACATATGACAATAGCCGACAGTTTTCAATTCACCAACCCAATAGCTTAGCATCTTCGATGACCAAAAAAGAGACCAAGAAATGTTTCCGTTTTATAGAGCTTATATAGAATGCCTTTCTATATAGCTTAGCGTCAGCCGGGACCAAAATCTCATTCCGTTATATAGAGTTTTCCGCTGGATAGGGTTCCGTTATAGAAAGCTTACTGGATTTAGTTGATTATAGGAGATAAAGATCTCTATAACGGAATGGAAGGAACCAAAAAATGTTTCCGTTATATAGGCTTAGGCTTAGGCTTAGGCTTAGGCCATTAGATATAGCTTAGCGTCAGCCGGGACCAAAATTCCATTCCGTTATATAGAGCTTTCCGCTGGATAGGGTTCCGTTATAGAAATTTTACTGGATTTAATTGATTATAGGAGATAAAGATTAAATAATTTGACTGGCTATTGTTATTATTTTACTTGAAACAATCAATTTTCGTTTAGGCTAGAAGACAATCAGATTCCTGCTTTCGAGCCGAGAATGACGTCAAGGAAGATGAAATCGATTGAGGTGACTTTTAGAGCAAATTAAAAGCAAATCTCAAATCAAGTCGAACAAAAAAAAAATTACATAAAAACCGGATTACACAACTGGAATTAAATTAAGTATAAAAAAAACAATGACATTAAAAATTCGTATGCTTGCTGATAGTGCCTTTATTTGAAACAGAATTTTTTCAATTTTAGATTCAGATTATTTTGCTAACTTTAAGGAATGCTTTATGTATATTTTATTCAAAAATTTATTCAGAATTTTATTGCTTATATACTTTAGTGTGTTTGAGAGCCAAATTTTTCCGTTTCCCCTTATTTCGTTTCCTTTGAATTTGTCGGTTTTGAGGTTTTCTCAAAAAAAATCAAAAACTTTCAAACTTTCCAAAATTTTTAGTGATAAAAGTTCATATTTTCTTCAAGTTTTTTAAAGAAAATAAATCAAAAACTCATTTTTAAACGTATTCTTTCAATTTTTGATCTTTTATTTTTCTTTTTTGTCTTCAGATCTCCGACCAATGGGATTCGTCATTCACGAAAGCGTTGGACGTGCAAGCGATCTCGTTTGCTGCTCAATTCCTTGAGTTCTTCGAGAGATTTGAGGTATACAATGTTTTCAAATAAAAATAGACGTGTTTTAGATAAATAATTTTGTAAATTCCCAAAGTAGAATCAGAAAAACTTGTTTCAAATTACTTAATTATTAAATCATCTGACGGTGGGTAGGGCTTTCACCGTCCACCTCGGATCTAAAGATATCAGATCTATATCTAAATATATCTAAAGATCTAAAGGTATCTAAAGAAATCTAAAGATATATAAAGAACTAAAGATATCCAAAGATCCAAAGATATCTAAAGATCTAAAGATGTCTAAAGAAATCTAAAGAAATCTAAAGATATACAGGGTGGCTGAAAATTGCGCGCGCCAAAGAAAACGCCATAATTTCATTTTCTTTTAAAGAACATGTAAAAATATTTATTTATATAATAGTTGTAACAAAAGCATTTAATAATTAAAAGAAATTTTCGAAGTGGCCTCCATCCGCTTTGATACAGGCTTCAATTCGCTTCTTTACAGAATCGACGGTGCGGCGGAGATAATTTGCATCTAAGTCGTTCCAGATTTTGTTCCAGATTCCAGATCCAGATCAATTCTCGACGTAAATCATGCAAATTGTTGATTTTCCTATTTCTCAATTGTTCTTCCATAAAACCCCAAACCGAAAAGTCCAACGGATTGAGATCCGGGCTGTTTGCAGGCCATTGATCCTTCGTCAAAAAAGATTCAATTTTGGTTTCGAGAAAGCGAATTGTTGTTTTGGCTCTGTGGGCCGGCGCCCAATCTTGTTGAAGGGTCAAATTGGGATGACTCCTCTTCCACGGCACCACAGCTTTCTCGAGAATCTGTATAAAGATATATAAAGATCTAAAGATCTAAGGATATCAGATCTAAAGATATCTAAAGATCTAAAGACCTAAGGATATCTAAAGCTCTAAAGATATCAGATCTAAAGATATCTAAAGCTCTAGAGACCTAAAGCTCTAAAGATATCAGATCTAAAGATCTAAAGCTCTAAATCTCTCTAAAGATCTAAAGTTCTAAAGCTACGATCTAAAGCTTTTATTTTTTTTATCTTTGCTTTAAATAATCGTCAATTTTAGGAAATCTTTCCATTGCCAACACTGAAAAGTTTCCCAACTCGTTTTTGGAACGAATTTTTCCAATCGATCGCCGATCACTCTGAGAATGGAATGAAGATTTCTGAAGGGGAAAACGAGAAACTTTTAGGAAATGGTTTGTTTTTCGAAATTTGAAAACTTTTGATTGCAAAAATTTCATATTTTAGTGCAAAATGGTGCCACTTTTTTGAAACTTTGGAATAATTCGGTCTCGGAGTGGGCCTCCGGAAGGATTCGACCGTTTGAGGTGTGAAAAATTTGAGTTAACTGGGCACTTTTCAGTTGTCAGCAGTGGCTTTTTTCGAATTTTGTTCTTTCAAAAGAGATATTGATCGTTTAAACAGACATTAATCGTTTAAACAGATATTGATCGTTCAAAACAGACACGCTCGGCGGTGCAGTGGTAGTGCCGCTGTCTTTAATTTTGCCGCTGTTTGCCGCTGTTTGCCGCTTCAATTTTGCCCCTTTGGATCAATTTTTTTCTTTTTTTGCATTTTTTAATGTTTCGAGCAGTAAAGTTGGATTTTGAGTGGTTTTTGATTATCTTTAGCTTTGATTGCCATCTGATTGCCATCTGATTGCCATCGCATAGCACTTTCTTGAAAAAAAGAACTTAAAAGGAATGAAAGTCTCTGAAAATAGGAAACTCTTGTAAGATTGATAATCGTGGAAATGTTTACCCCAAAAACCGGTAAATTAACGCTGGCTATTGCTCAATCTGTCATTTTCTTTTTTTGGCTTTGTAAACTTGAAAAGGTACAAATAATTTTTGCAACTTTTCAGAAAAACTCTATCTCCTGCACTTTCTTGATCTTTTGTAGGGTATTGTTTTGCGAAAGGTGGCAATCAAAGCTAAAGATACTCAAAAACTACTTAAAATACAACTTTACTTCTAGAAATATTAAAAACAATTCAAAAAAAGGAAAAAATTGACCCAAGGGGATCGAACTCGGAGACAACGGCAAAGGAGACAGCGGAAGGAAATGGCACTACCAATGCACCACCTACTCACCTTTTTCGGTGAGCGATGGTTAATATCTGTTTAAACGATCAATATCTCTTTACAAACTCATAAATCGCTCAATGCACTAGGGGTCAAATTTCAAATGCGTTTTCACAGAAATCGAGCACGTTTTGGCAAAAACCAAAAACGCCATCGTTTTGCCCGTATCCGTCTTGCGTAAGCCATATAGCTTGAGTTCGGATTTGCGCTTACGAAATCCGACCGTTCCCTAGGAAGAATGAAATTGGAAATTTGAAAATAGAAATAGACCGGAGATCGAAACATTGGGATGGTCGTGTGCACTTTGATTGACTTCAATTTGAAACATAATCTTTTAAAATCGGTTTAAAATCGGTTTAAAATCGGTTTAAAATCGGTTTTTGAAATCGAGTTTTAAACTAAAATCAAAGCCAAGTTGTTCCGACTGTTATCCGTCTTGCGCAAGGCATCTAGCTTTAGTTCGGATTCGCGCTTACGAAATCCAACCCTTCCCTAGTAAGAATCAAAGGAAATTTGAAAATAGAAATCGGAGATCGAAACATTGGAGTGGCCGTGTGCACTTTGATTGACTTCAATTTGAAACATAATCTTTTAAAATCGGTTTAAAATCGGTTTTGAAATCGAGTTTTAAACTAAAATCAAAGCCAAGTTGTTCCGACTGTTCTCCGTCATGCGCAAGGCATATAGCTTTAGTTCAAATTCGCGCCTGTGAAATCCGACCGCTCTCTCGAAGTATTGAAGTGGTCGTGTGCACTTTAATTCACTTCAATTTGAAACATAATCTTTTAAAACAGGATTTGAAATCGAGTTTTAAACTAAAATCAAGGCATCTAGCTTTAGTTCAAATTCGCGCTTGGAAACGCTGCCCTCGAACTTGGGGTGGCGCACGCCCAATGAATCGTGTTTTACTAAAATCAAGGCATCTAGCTTTAGTTCAAATTCGCGCTTGTGAAATCCGAAAATTCCTCTTGAAATATTGAAGTGGTCGTGTGCACTTTCATTCACTCAAATTTGAGACATAATTGAATTTTCGCTGGTCTCTTGCACATCCTCAAATTTGAAACATCTATTTTTCGATGCGACAAGTTCGATTTCCGATAATTGTTGAAAAAAACAGTTGACAACTGTTGAAAAGTGCTCCAGGAATATTAGTTGGAAAATTGTCTAATTTTTCTGTCTAATTTTCATTCAGGACTCCTCCCCGCATCCACTCATCAAGTATTCGCAGCTGAAAGCGCTTATCGCAGCCGCCGACAAGCTGAAATCGATCAGTCGACAAGTGAATATTTTTAGGGAAATTTATTTTAAATCCAAATTTGATCGGATCAGTTGTTGTTGTTCTGTTGTTGTTGTTGTTGTTGTTGTTGTTGTTGTTGTTGTTGTTATTGTTGTTATTGTTGTTGTTGTTGTTTTGTTGTTAAAAGTTAAATCAACTAGAAAAAGCGAAATAGTGAAAAGGTAGAAAAGTTAGAAAAGCTAGAAAAAAACAAATAGAAAAGCTTATATTACTAATCCGATAGTTCAATCTCTACTAGATCTGGGAATTTTCATTGTAAACGTTAATATGTGTCCAACGGAAAGCCATATCTCAGCCAATTTCCCTCCAAACTTTTCGTTTTTGATTTCAATCGATATTCAAATGAAATTCTCCGTCAATTGATCATAAAATCCAAAAGATCGAGGTGAAATTGACCAAGATATGCCATTTTTCTGTTGCACTATTGACGTTCACACCGAAAATTCCTACCGTAAATACTGCAATATGTAAATACTGTAATAGTACCCCACCCCCCTCGTACAGTCGCGTAGTCGCAAAATTTTTTTAGTATTTCATTTTTTTCAAAGCACCCCGACTTTCAAAAAGTCCATCTTTGGTACCAAAAGATAGTCCTGAATTTCAGCTATTTTTTGATCCCTAAGCGCACATTGTAGCATAAACCAGTGTCGAGAAAAACGCGTCCAAAGCTAGACTACGCAACACTCCACACCGTCATTATGGGGGTGGGGTACTATTACAGTATTTACGATGGGTCTAAACTTTCTACAACTTGAGACTGACTTTTTTTTGAAGTCAGTTGAAGTTTTCATTCAAAAAATTTGCATAAAACAGATAAACAATTATCTATTAGGGTGGTGCAAAAGAAACTGCCGATTTGACGGTAAATTCAAAAAAAAGATGGCGTTCGATGGTGACATGATCACAATGGAATATTTTCGCAATATCTCGAGCAGATTGGCATGGATTGGCATGGATCGGCCTGAATAACATCCCTCAGCTTGGCTTCGTTCACGACTTCTGGCCTCGAACCGTGCTCGTAGTCTTCCAAAGTCTCGTCTCCCTCTCGGAATCGTTGAAACCAAGTCTGACACTGCCTGAGAGACAAACTGCCATCTCAGCAGCACAGAGAGAACGATGCGATTCGGCAGCTTTCCAATTTTGAAGTTAGCAATAGCAAACAAATAAATAGCAAACAGTAATGCTGCTCGTAGCACAAACTTTTGCTCGATCATGATCTAAATAAAAAATATAGGCATTTTTAAATAAAATAAACAACAACCAAAAAATTCAAATGTCGAAATAAATAGCAAACAAATATGCGAACAAAACATCAAAAAAATAATGCCGTTAGCATCGCTCGTTTCTGATAAATGAAAGCTGATACCAATCGGCAGTTTCTTTTGCACCACCATAATAGAAAACCCTATTTGTAATAAAGTTCTTAAAGCTAAAACCTTTTTTACATCTTCTTCTAAAACAACACTAATACTAGAAAAAAAATAGGTGCTTTACGGTTAACAGCGAGTCGTTAACGGCAGTCGAGCGTTTATCAGGGGGCCCGAGTTTTTGGCCTACTTGCAGCTGATTTTTAAGCACCTTAAACTTGTCAGTTCAAGAAGTTCTAATAAGATTTAGATAGCTTGAAACGTCAACTTTCAGAAACTATTTGTTTCACCAAAAATTAATAACAAAAATGTATAACAAAATGATACCAATCGGCAATTTCTTTTGCACCACCCTAATAGATCAGTGAATTTTGATAAAATAGTGCCTATTTTGAAAATTTTATATTAGAAAAATGATAGAAAAGCAGCTATTTGATTGGATGACAGCTACAATGACCTCAAAATACGAGTCGATTAAAACTTTGCTCATTGAACTCATTAGCATTAGTTTGAAACTTGAATTTTTTGCCCATTGAATTAATTGACCCTTTGGCATCTTGGTTTAATTTGAAACTTGAATTTTTTCAACAAACAAAACTTGATTTTTTTCCAGAACGGAGCCCCCGATCCTTTTGCAATGCTGCACGCATATATGGGACAAGTTTTAAGCGTAAGTTTTAAAGAAAAATTGAAGATATGACATCTTTCCGTTGCACACCTATTGATGTTCCGCTGAAAATGAATCATTTAGACCGCTGGACTTGATGAAGCGGATCTGTGCGCGGAAAGTCATATCATCATCGAGCCGAACGTCGTCGATGAGGGAGAGATTATTGTGCTAACAGTCAACTTTGAGAATCTTAAGGTTGCTTTAATCTAGCTACCCTATTGGGTAAATTCTCTTATTCTTTTCCCGTATTTGAGTACGTCCACTTTCGCGCAGAATAGAAAACAGGATATCAGGGAAACAGAGTATAAGACCGATCTTGTATCCGAGACGGTCTACTATTTTTTTTCGATCATCCCCTAGACCCAGTCTTCTACTGGTTTGCTGGAAAAGGCCTTAAGAAAGATCGTAGAGCTTCAAAAATGTTTTCATAGAAGGGAATCGTATGCGTAGATTCCGAATTTCGACAAATCAGACCTCGTTGACACGTCAAATAAACGAGGCCGGTCTTGTAATAGAGTAAATACGGTAAATACGGTAGTTGCTACCTAATCTTTGAGCTCTAAAGTATCTTTGTTGGTCCAATAATGTTCAGAACTAAAGTCAATCAATCATTTTTCGCTCTAAAGTAACTTTCTAACATTGTTCATAAACTTTCAGCCAACTTTTCTCAACGCGATCCGCCTGGAGATTGAATGGGTTCGTGGAGATGTTTACACACCTGAAGTGAAATTCGCTCCTGGAATTTTCTCATATACAGGTTGGGAAATCGATTTGAAAAGATCTTGTTTCAAAAGAATCGTTTAGCTGCTAAAGTTTGCTTAGCTGCTAAAGTTTAGATGAAAATCCAGTCAATCCCATATTGTTAGGAGTGATTTGTTTGTGAATTTTGCTTTTAAGATATCGGTTTACAAGGCTTGATTAGCTCGGGAACTGAGGTGTAGCACATAGGTAACAAAAATAATCGTCTTTAAATCAAAGGTGGGTCCCGTTGTCCCAGATGGCAGTTACCTTAGGACTCACGGGTGAGGCCCGTCGTCCCAGATGGCAGTCACCCTGGGACCCACCGGTGGGTCCTTTTATTTTGATCTAATACGGTTCCAATACAGTTCCAATACGGTTCCTATTTTGATCTATTTTTTTAAAATTCGAACACTACAAATTTGAAGTTAGGCCTAAAAATGAACGGAAAAAATAAAATAATCCAAAAGCTATCATCCAAAATTTCAGAATTAAAGGCGGCGACTTTGATGTTAGTGAAATTTCATATTTCATCGAAACATAAAGTCTTATATGTCATTCAATAGCACTTTTCACGCTCTTTCAGAATACTGAATTGAATTTTTGTGGAATTCTATTTTTTTCATGAAATTTCTTCACTATTTTGCGCCGAAAAGTCAAAATAATTTTTTTCACGAAAATCTAGCTGATAAACTAGGCTCAAAAAAGAAAATTTCTGAATTCTACGCAAAAAGTTAGTCGGGAACTGTTTTTTAATTTTGTGTTTTGGTCAATGGAAACGCGAGCTCTGAAAGCTAGGTTTTTTAGAAGTGCGCGGTTAAATGGCCCGCGCGCACCTTTGATGTTGGTAAAATTTTTCTTTTGTGTCAAATCATCAAGTGTTATATATCATTCGAAAGCATTTTTATGTGTTTAAAACATGACGGAAAGAATTTCCCAAAAACTTTGACTTCTTGTAGCTACATGTAGCCATTCTAGAGTCTCTAAAAAGAGCAATAAGCACAAAAATCATTCTAGAGTTGAAATAAAAAAGAAAATCACAAAATCATTGTTGAAGTGTTAAATACCTAAAGAAATGAATAAATTCTCAACTATCTATCAAATAAATGATATTCAGCTAATTTCTAGGAATCTACGCTCTCGATGGATCACAAAGCTTGCCGGGTAAATCGTCATTCCAAGCGATTGCTAAATACACAACAGCTCCCGGGCCTCATTTAACACGAGAAGTCGTTTATCAGGTGTGAATAACAAGGATTATAAACCCTTTATTCGTTATTAAAAGTCTAGAAATAAATCTGAAACTTACAGGATTAAAAAAAACATAAAACATGATCCGACGGGGGTGGGACAAATGCGACCTTTTTTTGCGCACCTTTCTTTCGTCCAGCTTTTAATACAAATTTAAAAGCAGAGCCTCGCCAGGATGCCAAGCCCCTCACATCAAAATCTGGGGGTGGGACAAATGCGACCTTTTTTTGCGCACCTGGACATTTGCGCACCTTTTTTTTGCTGGAAAAGGCCTTAGGAAAGGTCGTAGAGCTTCAAAAATGTTTTCAAAAAAAAAAAGGTCGCATTTGTCCCACCCGCAGATTTTGATGTGAGGGGGCGTGGCTTGGCATCCTGGCGAGGCGAGGTTAAATTTGTATTAAAAGCTGGACGAAAGAAAGGTGCGCAAAAAAAAAGGTCGCATTTGTCCCACCCCCTGATCCGACAATTCAATAGAGTCTAAAGCAATCTGAAAACTATTGGGTTGATGAATTGAAAACTGCGGGCTTTTGTCATCTTGTCATATTTAACCATTCCATTTCATTTTTCACACCAATTTTTCAAGCCATATTTCAATTTTTAAAAAAGAATTTCTTTATTTTTACTCAATTCGATTTCTTTTAATTGTTATATTTTATTATTTTAGCCAATAGTGATTGTTTCGTTCGAGAATGGAGAGAAGAAAAGCATTCAAAAGCTTCAATCTTTTCCAGTGACCATTCGACCAAAGCCGGCTTTGAAGGTTTGGAACCAAATTTAAAGAAATAGGGAACCAAACTTGTTGAGATAGGGCACCAAATTTAAAGAGATGGGGAATTTTGTCTTAAAAGTTTGAAGTTTTCAAAAATAATGAAAATCTTTTCAGGTTCACTACTTTATTCAACAGGAAAAAGCCTCTCATTTTGTTTATGTGATTTTCGTGAATAATGGGTAAATCTTTAGTATTTAAAAAGTATTTAAAAAGTATTTAAAGTATTTAAAAAGAGAAATTTGAAAAAGAAAATCTTTAAAAAATAAAAGTTTCAAATTTAGTTATGTGACGCTAAAAAATGTGCGCGTAATCAACTTTAAAGTTGGCTACGAAAAAGCGAACAAAGAGCCGACTCGTTTTAGGATTGATGAAATGCGGATTGATGGAATACAGAAAAACGGGTTTGTCGAGAAAATGGCTAGCCTTTTGGCCCTTTTGGCCCTTTTGGCCCTTTTGACCCTTTTGGCCTTAGAACTTTTTCAATTTCGCGTAAATCGAGTGTTCTTTTAGTGGCTTGAGCTACGAATTAGGAATGATTAAGCCGGGAAAGACGAAAGTCGCCACGTTTCGAGTGTTTCCACTGGATAACGAGGTGAGATAGAAAAGAGAAACACTTCAAATCCATCTCTATAACTGGTATTCCGTGAGTACTTTGTGCCAAGGTTTGTAAACGCAAGCCTTACGATGCACTGAATTCTTCTTTAACTAGTAAAAACTAGTTTTTAAACTTGTAAATCATGTTTGCCAGGGCTTTTTACACTCGATTCAAAGTCAAACTCTTGTCGACGAGCGCTTGTTACCTTTTGAGGAAAATAAGCCATTGGCGATTCGATGGATTTTGGAGAAAGGTGATTTTCTTGAGTAAGAAAATTCAATTCAACGATTCAATTCAAAGATTCAATTCAAAGATTCAATTCAACAATTCAATTCAACAATTCAATTCAAAGATTCAATTCAAAAATTCAATTCAATTCAAAGATTCAATTCAACAATTCAATTCAACAATTCAATTCAATTCAAAGATTCAATTCAACAACTCAATTCAAAGATTCAATTCAACAATTCAATTCAACAATTCAATTCAATTCAAAGATTCAATTCAAAAATTCAATTCAATTCAAAGATTCAATTCAACAATTCAATTCAACAATTCAATTCAATTCAAAGATTCAATTCAAAGATTCAATTCAACAATTCAATTCAATTCAAAGATTCAATTCAACAACTCAATTCAACGATTCAATTCAAAGATTCAATTCAAAGATTCAATCCAAAAATTCAATTCCAAAATTCAATTTCAAATTTTCTCGTTAAATTCTCAAATTAAACTTGCAATCAAATTTATATACGAAAAAGTGCCCAAATTTTTCTTTGAATTCAACTTTGAAACACTGTTTATGAACAAAAAATCCAAAATATGGATCGAATGGAAACGCCTCCTCATTCTGGACGTAGATTTGGGGAAATTGGGGACAAAATTATGGGAATAACAATCGACACAAAAACAATGATAATGATGATGATGATGATTATCACGGTGAGGGATAAGGCGTCATTCGCCGAGTCTCCCCTTAATCCATCTACCCAATTTTGAAACTTAAACATTTTCGTCCAAAATATATTAGGTTGTTTTTGTTCCTTTTCGTCTGCCGTTTCAAGCCAACAAATGCACCAATTAAACTACGGTTGATTTCATTAGAAAAAGCAATTATTTTTCTGCAAAATAACATTAAAACGGGTTTAAAAATATTTAATGCCTGGATTTTCTTGAGAGTATGAAGTCGGGTAGTCAAAAAGGGCTAACTCGATGATGCGGTTTAGACACCTTAGCTAAAGAAAACCTATCTTCGTGTCAATAGATAAAAGATAGAGAAAAAAAAGTTTGATATTTCGCCAAAATTTCAGAGAAATTCATTCAGCCAATTTTTCCGTAGAGTTTTTTATAGATTTTTACGAAAAAGGCGTTTTTCACTCTCGAATTTGCTTGAAAGTGAACCGAAATTCATTTAAAAAGATGCAAATTCAACAAAAAAACACTTTTTTTATAGAGCAAACTATAGATTAATTCGTGAATTTGTTACTTTTTAACAGAAGTACGAAAAAAACGAAAAGACTTATGCATCAACCTAATAAAAGATAACTTGAAAACAATAAACAATAGTTTTTACAAGTTATGCTTTAAACTATTAGCTAGATAATTAACTAGATAATTAGCTAGATAATTATCTAGGTAATTATCTAGGTAATTATCTACCGTAAATACTGTAATAGTACCCCACCCCCATAATGACGGTGCGGAGTGTTGCGTAGTCTAGCTTTGAACGAGTTTTTCTCGACACTGGTTTATGCTACAAGGCGCGTTTAGATATCAAAAAATAGCTGAAATTCAGGGCTATTTTTTGACACCAAAGACGCATTTTTTGAAAGTACGGGTGCTTTGAAAAAAATGAAATACTAAAAACTATCAATTAATCCGAATCTAGTCACCGTCAAGCCGTTTATTGGAACCATTGAACGTTAGAAGATCTTTTACGATTGAACGTTAGAAGATTTTTACGAAAAAGGCGTTTTTCACTCTCGAATTTGCTTGAAAGTGAACCGAAATTCATTTAAAAAGATGCAAATTCAACAAAAAAACACTTTTTTTATAGAGCAAACTATAGATTAATTGGTGAATTTGTTACTTTTTAAACAGAAGTACGAAAAAAACGAAAAGACTTATGCATCAACCTATTAAATAACCAAAATTTCTGGAGAACAACAAAATACTCAAGCTTTGTAAAAATCGAGTTTCGGCCTTAAATATCATTGTGCTGATCAGCTGATCAGCCTTAATTATCATTCTTCTTGATTAGTATGAATGTTTTCGAATTACTCAAATCAATTAAAACAATTTCGTTTTCTAATTTCAAAAGAGAAACACGAGAAACTTTCTTTGATAAAGTAAACGAGTTTTTTTGTCAACAACAACAACAACAACAACAACAACAACAACTTAGGCCTTATCGTTTCTCCACTGGAATCAGAAGAACCCCGGTTTTACTTGATAAAGAAAAGCTTCAAGAGAAAGTTGACGAGAAGTTGTCTAAATGAAAAAATCGAAAAAATCGTCCCTTAAATATGTAAAAACTTTGCAAACAATTTCAGTAATGGAAAAAGGACAAGCCTTTTTGTATTTTACCTAAGCATAAGCTACGATAAAGTACACTGTACTAGCAAAAAAATGCAATTTTAACAAATGCAACAAATACAACCAAAAAAACTAGACTTAAAGCTTAGTTTTCTTGACAATTGTTAAAGTTTTATTTGTTTTCTGTTAGCTGAAAAAGATTGTAGACAAATAAAGTGATTGTTTATTTGTAATGATTTACTGAGCTGCCAACACTATATGATTTGCCAAGAAAATAGAACTAGTGCTTAAAAGAGAGAAAGCTTTCGTGAAGCTTATGATTTTTTTAACGGAATTACGAAAAGAAACGAAGAGACTCATAAAAACCAAGAAAAACCTAACAAAAAACCTAACAAAAACCTAATAAAAAGCACTAAAAAAACATGTTTAAGTAAACCAGTAAAGTAAACCGGTAAACCAGTAAAGTAAACCAGTTTAGAGTAAACCAATAAACCAGTAAAGTAAACCAGTTTAGAGTAAACCAGTAAACCAGTAAAGTAAACGAGTTTTTTTTGTCAACAACTCATTTTAGGCCTTATCGTTTCTCCCCTGGAATCAGAAGAACCCCGGTTTTACTTCGATCAAAAAGCGGCCACAATCTCGAATATAATTGAGCTACAAAATATTAAAGTAAGTTTTAAAAAAACCAGTTTTTAAAAAGATTTGAACGGTGATAAAGATGAATTTGCTTAATTGATTGATCAATTAATGATATTTGCGGCGTATTAATAGCTTTATTAGTGTCACTAAGTTGATGGGATACCCATTTTTCCACGAGATTCGCTTTACCCAAACGATGTAAATGATCCGCAATTGTTGTGTGGCCTGCAGCAAACATTGTTACAAAATATTAAAGCTACAAAATATTAATAGCTTTATTAGCGTCACTAAGTTGATGGGATACCCATTTTTCCACGAGATTCGCTTTACCCAAACGATGTAAATGATCCATCCGGATCACGTTGTGGCGTCGCTTTTGGCTGTTCTCGTGGACTGAAACACTGCGGCTTTCGCGATGGGTTATCGTAGCAAATCCATTTTTCATCGGCCGTCACAATAGTGTCCCAAAAACCTCGATTTTTTGATTGACGAAAAAGAATACCGGCCATAGTCACTCGAGTAGCTTTATTAGCCTCACTAAGTTGATGGGATACCCATTTTTCGACGAGATTCGCTTTACCCAAACAATCTAAACGGTCCGCAATTGTTGTGTGGCTTACAGCAAACATTTTTACAAAATATTAAAGCTACAAAATATTAAAGTAACTTTGAAAAAAAAACCAGCTTTTAAAAAGATTCGAACGGTGATAAAGATGAATTTGCTTAATTGATTGATCAATTAATTCGAGATCTGCAGCGTATTAATAAAGAGTTACCCTTTTACACTAGCCTTTATTTGAAACTTGAGCTTTTTAAGTGAGGATTTGGATCAAATAATTAAGCTTTATCTATAGTCAAATAACTATAAAGTTTAAAGTTTTTAAATAATTTGATATTATTGGCATTTTTGATAGCCATAAATAAAATAAAAAGAGTTTTTTTAATGAAAAAAGCCAAGCACGTGCTTTCGTCTCTTTTTAAACTAAAAACTTTACAAAATCGTCACTTTGTCATTGTCGAAACTTTCAAAATCCTGCTTGTTCTTGCTCAAAACGAAAATCCTGCTTTGCACTGTTTAAATGCGACTTTCTGGAAAGCTTGTTTCAAAGTTTTCAATCTTAAATGTTAAAGGATGACTTTAATGATTCATTTCTTTAAACAAAATTAAATTTGATTAAATTTGAATGAATGAAAAATTGATTGATTGATTGATTGATTGATTTCTTTCTTGATTTCTTTCTTTTCTTAAATCCAAACCGTTATCTTACTTTTTCATTAAATTTTAATAAGTTTGTTTCAAAAAAAATGCCTATAAATGCCTATTATTAGGTTGATGCAAAAGTCTTTTTCATTTTTTTCGTACTTCCGTTAAAAAGTAACAAATGCACCAATTGAACAACGGTTTATTGCATTCGAAAGGCCAATTATTTTTCTGCAAAATGACATTAAAACGAGTTTAAAATGTCTTATGTCTAGATTTTTTTGAGAGCCTGAAGTCGGGTAGTCAAAAAAGGCGACGGCTCGATGATGCATTTTAGACGCTTTAGCTAAGGAAACCAATCTTGATGTTAATAAATAAAAGATAGAGCACAAAAAGTTCGATATTTTTTCAGATTTTCAGAGAAATTGATTCAGCCAATTTCTTTATAGAGGTTTTTATAGATTTTTATGAAAAACCCGTTTTCACTCTCGAATTTGCTTGAAAGTGAACCCAAATTGACTTAAAAAGATGGGAAATTCAACAATAAACACTTTTCATTTAGAGCAAACCATAGGTTAATTGATGACTTTGTTATTTTTCAAAAGAAGTACGAAAAAAATGAAAAAGACTTTTGCATCAACCTAATATTTCAAAAAAATGCCTATGTTTCACCGAGAAAATAATTAATCTAATTTTCGACTACATTTTGCAATCTAAAATCAATTTTTTAATCAAAAAGATCAATAGGATCAACTTTGGATTAGTTAAATGTCAATGAAATATCCTGAGAGGTTTTGGCTTTGCGAACCTGTCAGGAACTTGGCCCAGCATTTCAACGTTCTGGTATAAAATCTCTCATTTTAGTTTTAAGTCATAAAACTATATCCTTGCAACCAAAACCTGTAGCTTAGGATTGATTTTAGATGATTTTAATTAGAACATTGGTCTTATGACTAAAAATTTCCACAACTTTGCATTTGTCAATCAATCATTCCAGAAAACCTCGAGCGATTCGAATGTGAATGGCCGACTTTATCACCGCATTTCCACGGTGTTCATGAATCCAGAATCGCAATCGTTTCGAGGGGTTTTCCTTGGGAAAATCCTACTGTCAACAATGGCTAAGAACTTCAAATTGATAAGGTAATTGAGAAAATAAGCATTTAAGACAAAATCTAATAGGAAAATCTAGAAATTTCTTAGAAAATGTATGAAAAGGATTGGTGGATATGTGGGAAAAAAGTTGATTTGACCAAAAAAAAGAGCTTTTAAAAAGTGTGTTTCATTTGTGGCGCGGTTTTTTTTAATGTTTAAAACTATACATTTCGCAAATTAGCGAGTTTTAGCGGAGTTTAATTAAGAATTTATCGAATTAATTGTGTAAAAATGTGAAATACTCAATGCAAATCTGCTTGAATATCTAGTGAATGTTAGTTTTGATAGTTAAGGAATAATTTAACCTATCGTAAATACTGTAATAGTACCCCACCCCCATAATGACGGTGTGGAGTGTTGCGTAGTCTAGCTTTGGACGCGTTTTTCTCGACACTGTTTTATGCTACAATGTGCGCTTAGGTACCAAAAGATAGCCCTGAATTTCAGCTTTTTTTTTATACCTAAGCGCACATTGTAACATAAACCAGTGTCGAGAAAAACGCGTCCAAAGCTAGACGACGCAACACTTCGCACCGTGGGAGTGGGGAGTGCGGTACTATTACAGTATTTATTACAGTGGGGTACTATTACAGTATTTACGGTAATTGCAAATTGATTCACGAAAAACCTCGACATCCGCAGTCACAGGAAAATTCGCAAACTGATATTTAAGCCTTTGTTAACTGATTACAATAAGTTTTTATTGTTTTCTTAGTTTTAAGAACTTTTCAAGATATCTTTAGCACCAATTAAAGGGAAAATAACACTACTGTGTGATCCTTTCACTTGCCGATGATTCAATAGAAGCATAAAGAAAAAAAATAGTAAATGAAAAAAAGATTTCCATCATTTTGCATTGAGCATTTGAACAATTTACACAAATTTCAAGCTCTAAATTTTTTTCCAATTAGCTAAATAGCTTTCCTCAGTCATTTTAAAGTCAAGTTTTAGTAAAAAGTTGTACGGGATCACCCTGGATATATCTTTCAGATTGAACGAGGTTGGCTCAAAGTTAACGAACATTCAACGCAATTTGAACGGACCGAAATGGATACAAAAAGAGAATGGGGTAAAGATTGACGGTGTAGAACGAAAAAATGCTAACAACAAAGCAATGCTAATAATGAAGCAATGCTAATAATGAAGCAATGCTAATAATCAAGCAATGCTAATAATGAAGCAATGCTAATACTGAAGCAATGCTAACAACAAAGCAATGCTAACAACGAAGCAATGCTAATAATGAAGCAATGCTAACAACGAAGCAATGCTAATAATGAAGTCATTGGTCAGTGGGATCAGTGTTTTGAAAGATTGTTTCTATTTAAAGAGTTTATACTATTAAAAGCAGTACTAGAATAAAGCCGTACTAGAATTAAATTGATTAGATTAAAGGAGGAATCGACAAGGATTTGCTGGCTACTACTTTGGATACTTTGAAACATTGTTTCTATTTAAAGAATTCATTCTACTAAAAGTAGTACTAGAATAAAGCCGTGCTAGAATTAAATTGATTAGAATAGATGCAGAATTGACATGCCATTTGTTGGCTAATACTTTCAACACTTTGAAACATTGTTTCTTTAGGTGGATTACCTTAACTTCATCGATTCAACTGCTCTAATGGCTCTTCCATCAAACACCATCTCTTATGAAGCGATTTTCGCTGATCCAAACGATTTCCCAACACCTATTTTCGAGCAAAATCTCTACCGAATACAAGGTTTCAACATTAAATAGATTAAAAAAGCATTGGAAAACTAATTCTTCTCATCAATGCCTTCTACAAACCAGGAATGAGGCAATGCCTTCTTTGGAATTCTCAACTTTATCCCGAGCATTCATTTGCAGTTCATCCCGATTCCTGGCCAATCCCGGGGACATCAATCGGCTCAATTTCCGCCTTTTCCCCAATCGATTCCCCACTGGAATTCTCTCTATATAGCTCAATTGGCGATGAGACGTTTTCGATTGACAAAAATACTGGTTTCAGTTTCAGTTTCAAGTTGTTGTAAATGATTTTCAGGCGAGATTTTCGTAGAGAATGAGTTGCGCAAAAACGAGGAACAGTGCGTGATCGTTGAAGTGAAAGATCAGCACGGGAATTCGTCAGTTTCAAAACTATTCTATGACTGAAACTTGGAAAATTCTTGTCAGAAAAGACTTTTACTTTTAGAGCCACAGTCCCATTGAGTATAAACTCAGGTGGGCAGCAAAAAAGTTGTGTTTCGAGGGGAGTTTCCGGGATGAAGCCGTTGATTCACAATGGGGAAACAGGTGTGTGAGAAGAAAAACCAAAAGATCTATCGTAATAGTAGTGAGTGTTGCCTAAATTGCTTGAAATCTCGAGAAGATCTATCAGAACCTATTGATGTGGGATCGGAAAATGTAGCTGACAATGAGATCTAGTGGGGGATTTGGGTGTTGAGCATCTGGGAAAACTTTGGAAACCGTAAAATAGTCATCAACTCGGCTCGCCGAGTTATTAGAGAAAATACGGTACCCATCTTAGAATATGCTTTTATTGTTTGGTCTTCCCGTTCACAAGTCTCTTGTGAACGGGAAGACCAAACCAATAGAAGCATATTTTAAGATGGGTCGGAAATATCGTTTCATTTTTCCCTATGCGTTACTCGATCAAAAGTTACACGAGTTTAAAGCATTATAATTAAAAACGAGAAAGAAAATGAGGAATTTACCGTAAAAATTCTAATAAGAAGATCATGGTTTTCTAATTTTTAACCCTCTAAAATTGGCTGGTCATAAAAAGTAGATCCGCCAAGTCCGTCAAAGTCAAAGGTCCGCCAAATGAATCAAAACAAATTAAAAATTGTTAAAAACTATTTTAAACAATAGCTCTTTGCATAAAACGTACGAAAAACATGTTTAAAAGTCAAATTATTCTTTTTTTGTTTACCTGGATCCCATAGGGAATCTTCAAAAAAAATCCACATAAAATTTCTTTTAAAAAAATTATTTTTTAAATTTTTTTGAAAAATCATATTTCCAATTTTAATGCCATAGCTAAAATACTTTTATCTGGCTTTAAATCTGCCTTAAAAAGAAGAGTTTCAAGGAAATATAAGTCCCGATTTCAAGGGATCACGATGGCAGTCTTCTAGTTGAGATTGGTCTGATATTCGAATTTTTACGGCTTTTACGGTAATTTAGAAACGCACTCTAATTAAGGGTCAAAAATATCGTCTTTAAACAAAGCTATAAACATTTGAAGTTGAGTATTTGAGTGATCAGATTGATTGATTGATTGATTTAGTTGAAACATCTCCTCCCACCGAGTCTCCGTGGGTTTCTTTCCCAACTCCAGGCTTGCTTTCAACTCCAGATGTAACATCTCCAGATGTAACAATGGAAACTCCAGATGTAACAACGGAGAAGTTTAACAGAAATCCAGATATTATTAAAGAATATTTTCAGCTTTGAAACTTCAACATTTCAAACGGAAATTACGGAAAATGAGAACCATTCAAGTGAAACGAGTCAAGCAACAGCAAGTCAAGGTCAACTTCTTCAAAAATACTCAGTTTTTAGCAAAAAAAACCTTCTTTTTATCAGTTTTTAATCACTTTTATTCGTTTTATCATCTTTTTATCAATCAAAACCTTGAATTCTTCATATAATTTGACATTTATTAGAAGCCAAACACATGATTGAAAACCAACGTTAAAAGATTTTTGTCCAGAACTGTAAATGGAAAGAAATGATCAAAGAAGACTAAAAAGAAAAAGAACTGGCTACCAATCTCTAATGTGTACGCTCCAATAAGCGCTCAACACTTGAATGAAAAACACTTATCATAAATACTGTAATAGTACCCCACCACCCTCGTACAGTCGTGTAGTCGCAAAAGTTTTTTAGTATTTCATTTTTTTCGAAGCACCCGTACTTTCAAAAAATGCGTCTTTGGTGTCAAAAAATAGCCCTGAATTTCAGCTATTTTTTGATATCTAAACGCGCCTTGTAGCATAAACCAGTGTCGAGAAAAACTCGTTCAAAGTTAAACTAAGCAACACTCCGCACCGTCATTATGGGGGTGGGGTACTATTACAGTGTTTACGGTACGTATATAGCATTTAGAATCAAGCACTTGATAATCTAGGCTACGCTACGTTGTTTCGTGCCTGATAGTGTGCCAAAATCAGACACTTTGAAATGAATAGCTTTCGAATTTGAAACATAAGAATCCCTACACAGAAGTATGTAGTTTTGAGCCGTAAAATATTTCATTTTGGGCCTAAAAAAGAAGATTTGTCAAAATCTACTTTAAAAAGATCTTCTAACGTTCAATGGTTCCAATAAACGGCTTGACGGTGACTAGATTCGGATTAATTGATAGTTTTTTAGTATTTCATTTTTTTCAAAGCACCCGTACTTTCAAAAAATGCGTCTTTGGTGTCAAAAAATAGCCCTGAATTTCAGCTATTTTTTGATATCTAAACGCGCCTTGTAGCATAAACCAGTGTCGAGAAAAACTCGTTCAAAGCTAGACTACGCAACACTCCGCACCGTCATTATGGGGGTGGGGTACTATTACAGTATTTACGGTAGATAATTACCTAGATAATTATCTAGCTAATTATCTAGTTAATTATCTAGCTAATAGTTTAAAGCATAACTTGTAAAAACTATTGTTTATTGTTTTCAAGTTATCTTTTATTAGGTTGATGCATAAGTCTTTTCGTTTTTTTCGTACTTCTGTTAAAAAGTAACAAATTCACGAATTAATCTATAGTTTGCTCTATAAAAAAAGTGTTTTTTTGTTGAATTTGCATCTTTTTAAATGAATTTCGGTTCACTTTCAAGCAAATTCGAGAGTGAAAAACGCCTTTTTCGTAAAAATCTATAAAAAACTCTACGGAAAAATTGGCTGAATGAATTTCTCTGAAATTTTGGCGAAATATCAAACTTTTTTTTCTCTATCTTTTATCTATTGACACGAAGATAGGTTTTCTTTAGCTAAGGTGTCTAAACCGCATCATCGAGTTAGCCCTTTTTGACTACCCGACTTCATACTCTCAAGAAAATCCAGGCATTAAATATTTTTAAACCCGTTTTAATGTTATTTTGCAGAAAAATAATTGCTTTTTCTAATGAAATCAACCGTAGTTTAATTCGTGCATTTGTTGGCTTGAAACGGCAGACGAAAAGGAACAAAAACACTTATGCATCAACCTATTATTTTCAGAAGTTACCGATTTCAGAAACTACAAGAAAACAAGACGAAACTGAGATTTCAACGTGGGAAACAACTGTGACAAATGGACATACAGAGGTTTGAAAAAATTGCGATGAAATGAGGAAAAATCAATTATTAAATTTAATTACTAATAAATGAAATCAAAAAATTGAAATCAAAATTTCACAAAAAAAAATTTCAATTTTAAAAGCACCTGGAAAATTTTCGCTTTTAGAAGCTTTTGGTGCCCAAATTGCCGCTTTTATAAGCTACAATTAGCTATTTATTTAGCTAATTGTCTTTTCAAGAACCAATCGATTAGCTAAATATCTTTATTTGATAGATTCATGATGCTATTTGTTCTTCAGATTATTCATTCAATCACACCGGACAACGAGCCGACTGAATGGACAACGAGTACGATAAGAACAGCGATCACAACACAAGCTATTGGTGATTTTATAAAACTAAAATTTATTCATTTAAGCATTCTTTAGCCATTTAGCATTTCAACAATGTAATTCTTTGTTTGATCAACTCTAGAATGTGTTAGGCATTGATTTTAAATGTAAGTAAGAGTAAAAAGTAAGAGTAAAAGTAAGAGTAATAGTAAAAGTAATAGTAAAAAGTAATAGTAATAGTAATAGTAATAGTAATAGTAATAGTAAAAAGTAAAAAGTAAAAAGTAAAAAGTAATAGTATCAAGAGAAAAAGTAAAAAGTAATAGTAAAAAAGACTTTCTGGACAGCTTAATATATTAAATCAAGACTGGAAAAAGAATGTTTCAAAGTATTTGAAAGTAAGCAATGCTTTTATAAAACAATACCATAGTTTCTGGTAATTTTAACAGAGTTTCAACTTAATTAGGGACAAAAAAAGCCTGCTCATTGTTTAGTTAAGTTAATTTATTTTAGAACGATTAGAACAATTAGAACGATTTTAGAACGATTTTAGAACGATTAGAACGAGTTTAGAAAGATTAGAACGATTTTAGAACGATTAGAACGATTATAGAACGATTAGAACGAGTTTAGAACTGCTCCAGAGTGCAGCTTTGAAGTAAGCCGACCTTTATCAGCTCAATGCTTCAATATCGGGGTGGTGATTTGAAAAAGTTTGAAAACAATGATGAAAGTTTGTTCTTAATCTTTGCTCAAATCTTTAAACCCTTTCTGGGGCACTCAATTTCACATTTCTCTCCCGACATCCAATCGTTTTTGCAAGAAAATGAAGAATTAAACACAAGAAAGAGTGCTTTTACAGAATTGAGCAAAGATTAAGAACAAGCCTTCATCATTGTTTTCAAACTTTTTCAAATCACCACCCCAATTTTGAAACATTGAGCTGATAAAGGTCGGCTTACTTCAAAGCTGCACTCTGAAAGAGTTCTAAAATCGTTCTATAATCGTTCTAATCGTTCTAATCGTTCTAATCGTTCTAAATCGTTCTAAATCGTTCTAATCGTTCTAAAATCGTTCTAATCGTTCTAAAATCGTTCTAATCGTTCTAATCGTTCTAATCGTTCTAAAATCGTTTTAATCGTTCTATAATCGTTCTAATCGTTCTAATCGTTCTAAAATAAATTGCTTAATCTAAAACAGACTTTCAAAAAAAAGAATTTTCAGAAAGCACCACCGAAAGCATCACTTTCTATACAAATCGACCAGATGGGGTGGGTTTTAGGGAGATTTTTGAATAAAAAGGATAAGCTGAGATAAGATAAGCCGAGATAAGTCAAAAACAATGGCAAATACTAAAATTCATGCTTCATGCTGTTTTTAGATCTGAGAAAAAGAACGAATAATCTAGTCGGTGGGATTGAAGCCTTGGCCTCTAGACTAGGACACAGTCAGCCATGGCAGCTATTATATATTCCATTTTTGCTAGTTGCTATTTTAGTTGCTAAAAAAGTCGATTAGAATCGATTTCCATGAAACAAGAATCTTTTGAATAAACAAGTCTGATGCGACCAGTTTCCTTGAGATAAATGTCAACCATCAATAGCTTACTTACACTTTACTTTGAAACATGTATTTTTCAAAAATTTCCCTTCATTTCCAGGAACCATCGACCCTTTCACCGACCGATTTCCCGACCCCTGATATTCTGACGACAGGTGGGGGATTAGTATTGAAGTAAAGATAAATCTTTGCTACATATACACTGTGGTGCAAAAGTCCTGACCGGTCGCACTGTCCTATCAAGTCTGAACCATTTCGCCAGAAAAAGAACGTTAAAATTTTATGGTAAAAACGTTTTTGGATAGCTTAAACCTTCTACTTTTATAATCCAAAGAATGAAAGCAATAACATTTTATTTAACAAAAAATTTTGACAATATTCCGAAACGACTCAAAAAAACATGGTGCAAAAGTCTTGACCGGTTTTTTATTTCTTGATTTTTTTTTGGTATTTCTTGTCTTTCTGCATAAACTTTTTGGTTCTAATTCTATTTTTTTTAGATGCCAGGACGATATCTATCAACGCCTGACAAAGAGAAAATTGTCGAGAATCGAACAAAAGGCGTTCGCGTGAAGAATGTGATGGAAACGTTCAAGTGTTCTGAAAAACAGTGAGACGTCTCGTGGCGCAATTCAAATCAAAAGGAAACGTTCATAGAGCCCCAAAAGAGGTCGATCACCAATTACAACACCAAATGAGGATCGTTCGATCATCAGGGAGCACCGAATAAACCCTAATCTAACGTCGAGCTATGGGATCAAGAAGTTGAAAGCTGTTTCTGGCAAGGATATTTCCCGATGGGCATCAACCGTCGCTTGATTCGAGCAGGATTGCATGCAAGAAGACCAGCAAAACGACCCTTGACCATTGCAAAACTCGGAGCTGAGATATGATTTTGCAAAGAACTACGAGTGTTGGACTTCCGATGACTGGGCCCGAGTCATTTTTACCGATGAGACTAGAATTAATTTATACTACCCGGACGGTAACCATTTAATCAGAAGACCAATTGGACAACGTTATAAGCTCAAATACGTTAGCCAACGGTCAATTCGGTGGTGGGAGTATTATGTTGTGGGGTAAGTGTTCGCCCTATTTTTTCTTCGATTTGTCTTTTTGGCTCGATGAATCGAAGTGTATCGGGACCGCTAGTGTTTATCGATGGAAATCTCGACGCTCAAAGGTACAAGTCAATCATAGAGAACAACTTACTTCCATTTGCAAACACGAACATGCCACAAGGATGGGCCTTATATCAAGACAACGCCCCTTGCCACAAAAGCCAATTACTGATGGGTCGAGTTGTCCGGCTTGCAAGTGGAGGTAAAGTTCGCCTGCCCGGCTTTTTTGCTGCTCATCGTGTGGAATTGATCAAAGCACCTCCTATTCGCCGGATCTGAACGTTATAGAGCATCTTTGGGCCCATTTAAGCCAAACTCAAGGGACGCCGGTTCAACTCAAAGGTCGATGCTTATTTCTTTATCAGAAATGTTTGGAGACAACTTTCTTTGGGAATTCTACGTGATTTGGTCGACTCGATGCCTAGACGCATCAAGGCAGTCATTGTCGCAAAAGGAGGACCTACAAAGTATTGAATTTTCTTGTGTTTTCTTGTACCGGTCAAGACTTTTGCACCATGTTTTTTTGAGTCGTTTCGGAATATTGTCAAAATTTTTTGTTAAATAAAATGTTATTGCTTTCATTCTTTGGATTATAAAAGTAGAAGGTTTAAGCTATCCAAAAACGTTTTTACCATAAAATTTTAACGTTCTTTTTCTGGCGAAATGGTTCAGACTTGATAGGACAGTGCGACCGGTCAGGACTTTTGCACCACAGTGTACATCCTCCATCAACAATTAAACGCAACGTACCTTACTTAATATTAATTATTTTGAAACATTGAATTCAAAATCTCAAATTTCGAAAGCAACTATTAGGTTGGCAAGAAAGTTTGTAGAAATTTGTAGAAATTCATTTGAAACTCAAATTTCCAGAAACCGGTGAAACAACAGTGGATAGTGGAGAGATCCACTCGACAATGATGTTGACTCCTGATGAGACACCTGAGCCGATCACACGGATTACACCTGTCGAGCAAACGGTTTGCTTTTGTTTTCATGACGAGAGTTTGCGCAGCTGGATTGTCACTGTTTTCTTGGCTCAATTGAAGCTTTTAATCCATACTTTCTTTAGAGTTTCTTTTAGAGCTCTTTAGAGTTTCTATAGGGCTTCGGGAGAGAGAGGTAACGATCCAAGAATCAAGCGTAGACTCAATAAGCGAGATAGGGTCATATTTATCAATTATTGGTTTTCAATAAATGCAAGTGATATCACTGACTGAAACGCCGCCGCTCACTATCGACTCACTCTTGCTCCACACAGCCGCACAGCTGCTTTATTTGCGTTTTCTTCAATCCAAGAATCAAGCGTAGAATCAATAAGCGAGATAGGGTCATATTTATCAATATAAGTTTATAAAACAAGCGTTTATTACACGAAAAGAAAGAAAGAAAGAAAACAAAACAAAAAGAAAACAAAAAGAAAACACAAATAAAGCAGCTGTGTGCGGCTGTGTGGAGCAAGAGTGAGTCGATAGTGAGCGGCGGCGTTTCATTCAGTGATATCACTTGCATTTATTGAAAACCGATAATTTGATCTAAGCAAAGTATCATAAATAAGAAATAAAGATCTAAACACACAATTTGATGGCACTGCGGCCATTGCCCCTATTACCCTTATTACCCAAATGATGTGAAAGAAAAAAACCCACTTAGTGGGAAACAGAAAGATTCTTTAATCTTGCCAGCGTGATTGAACCCTCGACCTTCCGCTTAAGAGACAAGACTTCTAACCGGTCGGCCATCTGGCCCACTCAAAATTACACCACTTTACCAATTCAAGAATTTCTCGCGGGGAGAATAGGGGAAAGAGTGGACAAAAAGATATTCAGTTGGGTTCACTGAATATCCAACACAAATTTAACACAAAAAGGGCGCAGAATCTAGCCTATAAAACTGACGATTTTATCGCGTTATAGTTTAGCATTTGTGTGACTATTGGTAAGCTCTTAGAAATGATCCTGAACAACTTGAAACATCAATTTTTATGAGATGATTTCAATCAATTAAAAGTTTTCAATCGATTAAAAGTCTTTCTCTGAATCTCTTTTGCTAAAAAGTCAGTTTCGTTTTTCTTTTGCTTTGTCATATTGTCGTTTTGTGTTTATTTTTGAAAAGCTAACTGTTTATTCTTAATTTCTTAAGTTTATTCTTCAGAAATTTGTTAGGGAAGAGAATAAGTTGCTTCTATACAAACTTCAAATTTTGAAACAGCTTCTTTAGAGCTATAGAGCTATAGAGCTATAGAGCTATAGAGCTATAGAGCCATAGAGCTATAAAGCTATATAGCTATAGAGCTATAGAGCTATAGAGCTATAAAGCTATAGAGCTATAAAGCTATAAAGCTATAGAGCTATAGAGCTATAGAGCTATAAAGCTATAAAGCTATAGAGCTATAGAGCTATAAAGCTATAGAGCTATAAAGCTATAGAGCTATAAAGCTATAGAGCTATAAAGCTATAAAGCTATAGAGCTATAAAGCTATAGAGCTATAGAGCTATAGAGCTATAGAGCTATAGAGCTATAGAGCTATAGAGCTATAGAGCTATAGAGCTATAGAGCTATAGAGCTATAAAGCTAAAGAGCTAAAGAGCTATAGAGCTATAGAGCTATAGAGCTATAGAGCTATAGAGCTATAGAGCTTAAACATATTCAAACAAGTTGAAAGCCGACTTTTTTGTTGTTTACTGGAGATGAATTGAAGCCTTCATCGCACTCCAGATTGCTTCCATCTACAATTATATAATCTAAGCTTTAAATAGTTAAGAAACTTTTTGTGAATAGTTGAAAAAAGCCACGAAACTTTCAAAAGACGATTCAGGGAAAGAGTCAAAGTTTTTTTTGGATAAAATACAGAATAAAATACATTTAAATTCTATAATATCAAGAGCGGAACACTTTCAAAATTGAAACAAACTGATGAAAGAAAAGAAAACAAACTGATTAAGGCCTCCTCAACGGAAACCTTTACTCATACAGTTGAAACATCAACTTTTTCAACAACGTCTTTCGAGCAAACTACTGAATTTATTCACACGATTCAACCGGATTCCACTCCGATATCGGTACGTTTCGCAGAAAATGACTAGAATGATTGTTTTTTTCTTTTACAATTTGAGTTTACTTTCCACATACAGATCGATCCAATCACTGCCACTTCGATGGAGACTTTAGCAACCAGTGGAGTACCAATGGTCACATTGACAGGTGAAGAAAGTCGTTAGCTTCAGTCGTTAGCTTCAGTCGTTAGCTTCAGTCGTTAGCTTCAGTCGTTAGCTTCAGTCGTTATCTTCAGTCGTTATCTTCAGTCGTTATCTTCAGTCATTTCATTAGCTTCAGTCGTTAGCTTCAGTCGTTAGCTTCAGTCGTTAGTTTCAGTCGTTAGCTTCAGTCGTTAGCTTCAGTCGTTAGCTTCAGCTTTAATAAAAGTTCAAGTTCCAATTTAAAGTTCCAATTTAAAGTTCCAATGTTCCAATTTAAGGAAAAGTAAAAGAGTGATTAGGCGGTCAGTTTTTAGGAGAAAATTCATTCTTTTACTACTGTTTTTGTTTGGTTTTCAAAAAGTATAAAAAGTTTGTTTTGAGAATTCGAATTAGACGAACTTTTCAATAAAATTTCTAGAATTTTTGATTTCAGATGATTTCCCAAAACCACCGACACCCGCATGGCAGACTGGAAGGTGAGTTTGACTAGCAAAAGTCACCTCAAAACCTCAAAACCATTTTCTATTGTCTTAAATTCTTTAGATGGTCATCATCCACCATCACTTCGCCCGTTTCGATCACTTTTTCGACTGTATCGGAAACGTTTGAGGTCACTTTTTTGCTTGTAACAATGTAAAACTAACATTTAAAATTTACTAGAATTAGAACTTTGCTAAGACTAGTGAAATTCTCGCACTGGCAAGTCGAACAGTGCGGCCCATAAGCAACTGACTCTTGTGGCAAGGAGCATTGGTAGAGGTAGAGGTAGAGGTAGAGGAGCCATCCTTGTTCCATGTTGGCGGTCGCACTGTTCATGCCATGCTCGACGCGCTCCAGAAAATTCATGCTCACTTATCTTTCATTTTTTTTTTTAAAAAATTACTAAGTTATATCAAATTTAGTACCTGGTTTTCGGTCTGACTTTTTTTTGAATTGAATTGAATTATTGGCTCGGTTCAGACCGTAAAAATGTAAAAACTTTGAATCGAATCGATTCGGTCTGAACGGAAAATCAAAATCTTTCGAATGAATCGAATTGGACCGAACCGATTCGATTCAATTCAAAAACCAGCTCTATATCATACGTGTAATTTCTTTCTAGAAGTTTCGCTTTACTTTTTTGGTTTACTTGCTGATTTGTGCGCGTGTTTAAGGCGCTAGATAGCTTTATAGCGATTATAGGGAAGCATTTAAAAGCTTTTAAAAGCTTTTAACAGCTTTTCTTGGTTTATTTTTATAATCTATCTAATGTTTAAATATAGTAAACCAAAAGAATCAGCAAGTAAATGAAAAAAAGTGGAGTGAAGTTTCACTACTCTCGAGAAAAAAACACGTATCGGGAATCAGAGTACTCGTTCAACTGGGACAACCAGCTGTACCACTGAATTATGGATACCACTGTATACCTACCGTAAATACTGTAATAGTACCCCGCCCCCGTCGTACAGTCGCGTAGTCGTACAGTCGGGAAGTTTTTAGTATTTCGTTTTTTTCAAAGGACCCGTACTTTCAAAAAATGCGTCTTTGGTATCAAAAAATAGCCCTGAATTTCAGCTATTTTTTGATACCTAAGCGCGCATTGTAGCATAAACCAGTGTCGAGAAAAACTCGTTCAAAGCTAGACTACGCAACACTCCCCACCGTCATTATGGGGGTGGGGTACTATTACAGTATTTACGGTAGATAATTACCTAGATTATCTAGCTAATTATCTAGCTACCATAAATACTGTAATCGTACCGCACTCCCCACTCCCCACTCCCACGGTGCGAAGTGTTGCGTCGTCTAGCTTTGAACGAGTTTTTCTCGACACTGGTTTGTGCTACAATGCGCGCTTAGGTATCAAAAAATAGCCTGAATTTCAGGGCTATTTTTTGATACCTAAACGAGCATTGTAGCACAAACCAGTGTCGAGAAAAACTCGTTCAAAGCTAGACTACGCAACACTCCACACCGTCATTATGGGGGTGGGGTACTATTACAGTATTTACGATAAGTAATTTTTTCGAAAAATTGAAAAGCAGCATGAATTTTCTCGGCATCAAGCACGAATTTTACTAGTCTAAATTCGAAATTTTCAGACGACTTCTCTCTCTGAGCAAGATCAAGCAATTCAACATGCTTGCGGGCAAAAGGATGAGGTTTGATTGGGGGAAAAGGAAAATTTTTCGTTTTCAAAGCTCTTGGAACAAAAATTGAGAAGCGATAATAAAAAAACGTCAAGTTTAGAGAGGGAAACTCTTGAAAATAGGAAATTTCATAATAGTTTTACCTTAAAACAACATTAGTACAAGTTGTATTAATGCTAATTCATTAATTAATGCTAATTCATTAATTAATGCTAATTAATTGAAATCAAGTACGATAAAAGGATTTTCAAATCATTTTTGCAAAGTATTCAACTGGGAAAAGCTCGTAAAACTAATAATATCCATTGTTATCGTTCTTTCCTTTGTTATCGCTTTATGCAAATTTTGTTCAGGGAATTTGGGATCTGATTTGTGACTTGTCGAAGTTGACACGAGGTCATCATGGAGTATCAATCGGGAATCAAAGTACTCGTTCAACGTTTGAAACAACCAGCCCTACCACTGGATCTCCAAAAACACGTTTTAACGTAACAAATACATTTTAGATCTTGTACTTTATACTCAAAATCTGTAAAAACACGCTTTCTAGTGCACTGAATTCTTTAGTTTTCTTGAAGAAACGAGAAAATTCATTGGCACTAGAGAGGTTACGTTTTGCAGAGATTTTAAGCAAAAACGTTGTCAATTTTTAAAGCATATCTTTTTGATTGTGATCGATTCAAAATATAAAATTTCTTTCCATTTACAAGTAAAATTGATTGCGCACAAATTCGATTGAGATCAAAAAATAGACAAAAAATGAGAGGGAAACGAGGGAAATTAGGGTGAAACGGAGAAATTTCGCTATGGCACTCGTTCGACCGCGATTCGTCGCTTGATGATAGCTGTTAAGAAGGACAGCGATAGAAAACGAGAGTAAAGTCTGGAATTGAAAAAAAAACAACTGAAAATCTCTTGTTTTTATTATGAATTCAGGTATGAGAGTTGTAAAAAGTGTACATTCTGAGCACGCGAACCTTCCCAAGTTACCCGCGAGTTACAATATGAGATAGGTGCCAAAAGAAAGGCCTGAAGATGTATGTTCAGAAACTGTTTTCAAAAACCGCTAATCGGCAAGACGCACAAAGTTACAGCCATTTGAGTTTCGAAAAAATGAAGGCTTTTCTCGAATTTCTGGCACACTGATTTTTTGCCGGCGGAAAGGCTTTCCTTTCGCCATCCCAAAAGTCAGCTCAGCCAGCCAGCTCGTAGTCTAGTGGTTAGTGTGCCTGTGCTCGGAACGAGACTAGACTACGAGCTGGCTGGCTGAGCTGACTTTTGGGATGGCGAAAGGAAAGCCTTTCCGCCGGCATTGGAACCGTATTGGATCAAAATAGGAGCCGTATTGGAACCGTATTGGAAGTATTGGAACCGTTTGGATCAAAATAGGAAACGTATTGGAACCGTATTGGAACCGTATTGGATCAAAATAGGAAACGTATTGGAACCGTATTGGAACCGTATTGGATCAAAATAGGAACCGTATTGAATCAAAATAGGAAACATATTGGAACCGTATTGGAAGTATTGGAGCCGTATTGAATCAAAATAGGAACCGTATTGGAAGTATTGGAACCGTATTAGAGCACAAAATAGGAGGGAATGGCACGCCGTTTGACTGAGCTCATTCCGGTTTCATCAACAGAGCTAAATTGAGCTAAATTTTAGTGAACCCCCCCTTTTTTGTAACACTTATAGCTTTGTTCTGAATAAAGATCTCAAAAATTTTAACCACAGATTTGAATTCCGACATACACTGGCCTTAAAAAAAGCCATAATTCAATTAATTTTGAACTGAACTGCCATCAAAACAGAAAAGACTCTTTCAAAATTCTCAGTTTCAAATTTCAAAGTTTTTCATAAGCAAATTTCTTTCAATGTGCTTATTTTAAAGAAAATCTGAATCAAATTTTGATTTTATTCGATCTTTTTGACTAAATTGAATGGAAATTGAGCGAATGAGTGCAGGTTTTAAAATAGGAATCTCCTAATTGAATGATTCACTAATCTGGCATGAAGATAAGTTCAGAATTGATGATTTACCCCTTTATAATCTATTTTTCAAATCCCAAATTAAACAAATGCCGAAAAATACAGAAAAAAAAGGTTTTTCTTGAGGAAAATACCGTAAAAGCTCGAATAGAAGCACCCCCTATGGGAGCGTCGCGTAGTCTAAGTTCACACTCAAAAAAACCGCTCATTTCTCTGCGCCTAGACCTTTATTTCTGCGCATTTTTGTATCAAATTAAAGTAGAGAGGATGGGTGTTTTTTTGAGCTATTATACATATTTTTAGCATTAAACAGTGCTTAGAAAAAAATGATTGAAAAGTGGCAAAAAAAATCGGCTTTTTTTGCCACTTTTCAATCATTTTTTCTAAGCGCTGTTTAATGCTAAAAAGATGTGTAATAGCTCAAAAAAACACCCATCCTCTCTACTTTAATTTGATACAAAAATGCGCAGAAATAAACGTACTTGTGTCGAGATATGAGCCTTGGTTTGAGAGTAAAGGCTTAGACTAGGCGACGCTCCTATAGGGGGTGCTTTTATTAGAGCTTTTACGGTAGTTGGGTTTCAAAATTGAACGTATCTTCTAAAGTGATCTGGTCCTAATTTTTTCTGTTTTGTAGCTTTTAAAAATAAAGCTTATATTTAAAAGCTTCTTCTGATCTATTTGTTTGATATCAAGTCTTTTAGATACAGTCGACTCTCTCTATAACGGAATTATATATAACGGATTTCTATATAACGGAATGGAATTTTGGTCCTGTCCGAAGCTAAGCTATAAGGGAATGAAATTTTGGTCCCGGCCGACGCTAAGATATAAGGGAATGAAATTTTGGCCCCAGCCGACGCTAAGCTATAACAGAATGGAATTTTGGTCCCGGCCGAAGCTAAGCTATAACAGAATGGAATTTTAGTCCCAGCCGATGCTAAGCTATAACAGAATGGAATTTTGGTCCTGTCCATTCCTTTATAGAGAGATTCCTTTGTAGTGCCTAATTTGTGCGAAATCTTACCAATAAATAATAGAAAATCAAAGCGATCCAACGATAAATTTGCAGCTGTTGACATTCTTCATACGAGTCGCCGATTTTCTTCTCTTTTACGATGAACATCACTCCAGAGGCGTGTCTGCAAAAATTTAGTGATAAAAGACAAGCGTTTAATGAAAATGAATCTAGTTGTCGATGTTCAAATATTCAATTGTCGCACTTTTTCATGACTTCTCCGATATATTGAACGGCCGACGAGCAGCTCAAAAGCACGAAAAGAGCTGGGACGACGAAAACGATAAGGAAACCGATGAAGAGAATGCCAATTATCAGAACAAAATATGGTTGCGGTTTCTGAAATGATCGATAGATAGATCATAAGTACTGGATTTGGATTTTATTTTAAACTAAAGTTTCATTTCATCGACGCCGACTTAAGGCTTTTAGTACTACCGTGAGCTTATCTAAATGCTTTAATTGTTTATCTAAATGCTAAACTTTGCTTTAATTGCTTTGATTTGATTGCTTTTTTGTTAAATGACAGATCTTTAAGGGTAACTAATCTTAGAAATATGGGTAAAACCTATTTTTTAAGTCAAACAATGGTTTTGTCCATTAGATTTTTCAAATCTATTTTGGCTTTATCTAACTTGAAACAGTCTTTAGCTCAATACATTGCTTAATAGATTTTTTCGATTCAAAACACTTATAACTAACAATAAATTGTTACTGTAATACTGTAAAGTTAATTTTACCATAAAATTTAATGTATTGGGTTGGTGAATTGAAAACTGCGGGACTTTGAGCTAAAATTTATTCAACATAAAACCATAAATTCATTCGAAATAATTTCCATTATTATTGACGACTTCTGCCCATTTTACAGGCAATTTGCGGATTCCTCTTTCGTAGTAGGATTTTGGTTTGTGTGTGAGACAAGTGTGAGACTCAAAAATGGAGGACTGGAGATGACCCAGTTTGAGCATTTGAGCACTTTCTTCAAAAGAAACCCATTCTGGTGTCAATGGAAAAGTTGTAGAGAATCAAAAATTAGGCGTATAGCCAAATTTCCAAAAAGATACACTTAGTGGTTTCGCTTAAAATGCAAGTTTTGTGAAAATTCGTAAATTTGGCATTTCTTGAAAACCAGTTTTTGAATCGTTCTGAAAATTTGGATATAAGCTTGATTTTTGATTCTCTACAACTTTTCCATTGACACCAAAATCGGTTTCTTTTGAAGAAAGTGCTCAAACTGTGACATATGACAATAGCCGGCAGTTTTCGATTCACCAACCCAATAAAATTTAAAACTTTAGACATAATACAGTAATTGGGGTCAAGATATTCAGCCAACAAGACAAGAGGTGTCTTTACTTTTTATTTGAAAGGTTTGAAAGATCTAAAAGATCTAAAAGATACTCCGTTTTGTTGGCTGAATAGTTGAATAGTTTTTACTTGCAATTTGCATACTGTAACAAGGCAAATGGCTGAAATTTTATAGTATTTTTTAAATGACTTAATCTACTTTTTGAAGGCTGAAAGAAAGGCTTTTCGTTCCTTTTCGTATTTCCTTTTTTAAAAAATAACAAATCTACAGTACTGTCCAATGAAATATCATATTTGAAAAACGATCGTCACTTTCGCGCGTCTGTAACTCCCTTGTCTTGACCGTATTTCTAAATATTAATATTACCATTGTGTAGCCCTTGAAAAGAGCTTTCAGAAAATGTATAACACTAATAGTTTATGCTCAAAGACAAGGAAGTTATAGACGTGCGAACGGGACGATCGTTTTTCAAATATCATATTTCATTGTCCAGTACTGTATCAATTAACCTATGGTTTTCTTTAAATAAAAAGTGTTTATTGTTCTATTCTTTTTCATTAACAATATTTTTAAGCCAATTTCCGTTCACTTTTAAACAAATTTTAAGCTAATGGATTCTTTACTGAAGTGTAGCACTTCAAATTGAAACATTTTAGGCTGTCTAGAAAGTCTTTTCGCAAATCCCGTTGAAAAATAACAAATTCACCAATTAACCTATGTTTTACTTTAAATAAAAAGTGTACATTGTTCAATTTTTTATCTTTTAAGTCAATTTTGGTTCACTTTTAAGCAAATTCGAGAATAAAACCGTGTGTTTTTCGCAAAAATCTAGAAAAACCTCTACGAAGAAATTGGTTGAATGAATTTCTCTGTAAATTTGATGCTATATACTTTTTGTGCTCTATCTTTTATCCATTGACACGATTTAGTCAGATAGGGAACCAAATTTAAAGAGAAAGGGAACCAAATTTAGAGAAATAGGGAACCAAATTTAAAGTGATAGGGAACGAAATTTAGAGAGATAAGGAACCAAATCTAGAGAGATAAGGAGATAGAGAACCAAATTTACAGATATAGAACGAAATTTAGAGATAAGGAACCAAACGTCGAGAGATAAGGCACCAAATTTAAAGAGATAAGGAACCAAATTTAAAGCGATAAGGAACCAAATTTAAAGAGATAAGGAACCAAATTTAGAGATAAGGGACCAAATTTAAAGAGATAGGGAACCAAATTTAGCCAAATTCCTTAACAAGAATACTGTAAATTAGGTGAAAACTAGACTAATTTAACCAATGATTTGATCAACTTTGACCGACAAAGAAGCAAGTGATTTGTAATTTGAATTCTCATATTAAGTCGTTCCCTTTGAAACTCTGATGTTTTATTTGAGGAAAAGCTGATATTATGTTTGATTCGGAAAATTTATGAGCTGTTTTAACTGCTTTTATTCTATCAACTCACCGTTGATCGCTGCTGTCCGGGCGAGTAATTGATTGCAAGAGACATTGCTTCAAGTTTCAAGATCTCTCAAAAGAGTCTATCAAAAGAGAATCCGATTTTAATCCACGGCTTGAAAGATAGGCTTGAAAGATTTAATCTAGTTTAAACTTTGAAATCATTTGAAAGAAAAGTGCAGACCCTTCACCTAAAGTGATCTTTAGTGTCCCATCCGTGAGGAAAAAGCTCACCGGAGATTGTTGTGCAAATAAAACTCACCAGGAAAAAAAAAAGCAAAAGAAAAATTCTACTTAAACTTTTTACCAAAACATTGTGAAAATGATAAGTAAAATAGTTAGATTTTTTTAAAAATTAGGGGGTTTTTGATGTGTTTATTGAGTGAGACACGAACAGAATTGAGTTGACTTTGTTGAAACATGAATTTTCGTTGATAAAATGGAAACTCTGGAGTAAAAGTAAACCAAGGTTGTCTGTTTCATTTAACTACTGGAAGATTTGGAATAAAGCTAAAGCACACCTGGCAACTGGCTAGCAAGCAAAATGGCTGGCTAGCAAGCAAAATGGCTGGCTAGCAAGCAAAATGGCTGGCTAGCAAGCAAAATGGCTGGCTAGCAAGCAAAATGGCTGGCTAGCAAGCAAAATGGCTGGCTAGCAAGCAAAATGGCTGGCTAGCAAGCAAAATGGCTGGCTAGCAAGCAAAATGGCTGGCTAGCAAGCAAAATGGCTGGCTAGCAAAATGGCTGGCTAGCAAGCAAAATGGCTGGCTAGCAAGCAAAATGGCTGGCTAGCAAGCAAAATGGCTGGCTAGCAAGCAAAATGGCTGGCTAGCAAGCAAAATGGCTGGCTAGCAAGCAAAATGGCTGGCTAGCAAGCAAAATGGCTGGCTAGCAAGCAAAATGGCTGGCTAGCAAGCAAAATGGCTGGCTAGCAAGCAAAATGGCTGGCTAGCAAGCAAAATGGCTGGCTAGCAAGCAAAATGGCTGGCTAGCAAGCAAAATGGCTGGCTAGCAAGCAAAATGGCTGGCTAGCAAGCAAAATGGCTGGCTAGCAAGCAAAATGGCTGGCTAGCAAGCAAAATGGCTGGCTAGCAAGCAAAATGGCTGGCTAGCAAGCAAAATGGCTGGCTAGCAAGCAAAATGGCTGGCTAGCAAGCAAAATGGCTGGCTAGCAAGCAAAATGGCTGGCTAGCAAGCAAAATGGCTGGCTAGCAAGCAAAATGGCTGGCTAGCAAGCAAAATGGCTGGCTAGCAAGCAAAATGGCTGGCTAGCAAGCAAAATGGCTGGCTAGCAAGCAAAATGGCTGGCTAGCAAGCAAAATGGCTGGCTAGCAAGCAAAATGGCTGGCTAGCAAGCAAAATGGCTGGCTAGCAAGCAAAAGTACCCTATTCAATGCATTATGGTGTAGAATCGTCACCATCTTTATCTGCAAAAATATCAAGTATGTGTATCGTTCAAATAAAAAGCCAATGGGCTCATTTGATATCTTTGCAAACAATCATCATGTATCAATGAATATTCACACAAATTATGGTGTTTCCCATTGATTTCATAGGAGAACAATCGATATCCCACTTTTCCCAAATCGTTCAACAATTGCACCACTTGTTGCCCGGTTCTCCCATGGATCTCGACGAGGATCTGGAGAATTTCAGTGTACTGTTTCGAAGTGTCATATATCAATGAATATTCAATCAATGACTTGGGTTTCGTAAATTTAAACAAACCTTAGAATAGGCCAATTTTTTTTAAACAGCTTGAATCAAATTGGGGTAGGCTAATTCCGGACATTTTATTTGCGCAACTTGCCATAACTTTCTTCTAAGCTGGTCAATCTTTATGATTTTGATGTCATCTTGTAGATCTCAACAAGTGCAACAAAATGAAACCAAAATCATAAAGATTGACCAGCTTAGAAGAAAGTTATGGCGAGTTGCGCAAAAGACCCAGTTACGGAAAAAATTTGGCGCAAAGTAGCCACTCCCGAATCCATAACGCCATAACTTTCTTCTAAGTGGGTCAATCTTTATGATGTTTTGGTTGTTTTGGTATAATTTTGGTTTCATTTTGTTGCACTTATTGCGATCTACAAAATGACATCAAATTCATAAAGATTGGCCCACTTAGAAGAAAGTTATAGCGAGTTGCGCAAATAAAATGTCCGAAAGCCTACCCCATCAAATTATCTTGAATAATTTGTCTCGACTAAACCGTGTCCCCTTTCTCTTTCCACCGTAATCTTGTCTCTTTTTTTATTCAATCAATCCACTTTTTTTTATCTTTCAATATCCTTTATGATACCCTCATAGAATCAAACAAAAAGTGGATAAAAAATAGAGACAAGATTACGGTAGAAAGGGTATAAAACGCATGCCCTGGCTTTACTCGGCCTATTCTTGATGTTTTCTCTTTCAACCATGAAACACCTGACACATTTTGACCACTTTGACGAGCTCTCTCAACACGATGAATTCGGCTCCTGAAATTTATGCTTAAAATCAAAATACTAATAACTGAAGCCTTGAAGCATCAATGTTTGCCTACCTTCAATGTCAATCTTCAAAATCTCGATTCTCTCGTCTCCATGAGCCGCCATTTCACTCTTGACGTTAACAATCTTCTGAAATTAGACAAAGCCATAAGAAAAAAATGAGAAAAAAGGCTCATTTGCATCTATTTTGTGTTTATTCGTCTATTTTGTGTCTATTCTATTTTATGTTTCAAATCGGACGTCCGGATGGACGTCCGATTTGAAACGTATTTGATTTTCGCTCGGATTCGGACCTAACATAAACAGTGCGTTGCAAAATGAAAGTACCACCGTCGATTTTTTGCGACTTTTGACTATAAATAACTAAAAATGCAAAACGCTGCTTAAATTCTAATTTTACATACAAAAGTACGCACAAATACCGTTTACGGAATCATTTACTTTAAAAGCCACAAATTTTTAATCATTTCATTTGCACCTGTTGCAAAATGAAAGGACCACCACGTTTCTTTTTCATTTTCTACTTGTAATAACCATTTTTTACTTGTTCTATTTCTTTTTCAAACTAATTTTTATTTTTTTAGAAAGATGGGGCGTGGAAAATCGCTTTCGCGGATCGAATAGATGAAAATTGCAATTTTGAAAGGAAGAAAGTTGTCGAATTGGAAGATCGCAAAGAAAATGAAGCGCTTGGACCAAGTTGTCGCAAATTACTTGAAGGTTCCTTCAATTCTGGCAAGAGGAAGTCTCCGGGACGTCCTCGAAAGCTCACGGTCCGCGCTGAACGGTATATTGGACGTCTGTTGTCGTTGTCGAATATTGTCGAATTCGGTGATGTCGCTACAGGACCTCATGGCAAAAATTGAAGTCCACTAAATTACTCTTTCTCGGGCCATCAAGTGTATGCCTTACAGCAAAAGAGCAGTCATAAAGAAAGCAACAAAACTGAAGCCGGCGCACAAAGAAAAAGGACGTCTTGGGCTCGGGATCACATCACCATCGATTGAAGAAAAGTACACTTTTTGCCTTTAGTTTGTATATATTTCTAGGATTTAAGAGCCATTTAGCGTTATTAAGTTTCATAGCCAAAAAAAATGTAAAATTTACGAATGGTCTTATCATTTTGCAACGCAGTGTATTTTCGCCTTGGTTTCCGAATTGATTTTAGCAAAAATTAAAGGCTTCAAAGTCAACCGAATTTAAGACGATCAAAAGTAGGAAATAGTTAAAAGGCTCCTTTTCTCCTTTCCTCCAAGGCTCCTTTTCAAAATTCGAAAATATTTTGAACATTAGTTTATTATAGACTAGAAATTCAACACTTTCAGAAAAGGATCATAAAAAAGGGTGGAAAAAGGTATTTTCGCTTTGTTTTTTTGTTCTGCCAGTAATCTGCCACAGAAAACAGATTTATTACCTTAGCCTTATCATCCACTGTCCCAATGAGAGCCTTTTTGAAGTGAAAGTTCAACTTGTCCATTCCATCGAGCACAGAAGTGCTGCTGGGATTGAACTGAAATTTTTGTTTTAGCTGAACAAACTACATTTCATTCTAATTTTTCTTTTCTTTTTCTTAATTCATTCTTAATTCATTCTTGAATTCATTCTTGAATTCATCCTTGAATTCATTCTTAATTCATTCTTGAATTCATCCTTGAATTCATTCTTAATTCATTCTTAATTCATTCTTGAATTCATCCTTGAATTCATTCTTAATTCATTCTTAATTCATCCTTGAATTCATTCTTGAATTCAAAAGCTGTAATAACCTTGTCATACGCGTAAATTTTGCATCTCGCATCGGTGATCGTTTGAAGTTCCCTTTCGAATGAGGTGTCCTCGTTCACACCTAAAAAAATGGTTTGGATGTAAAAGCCTAAACGCTTTCTAAAAAGTGACCAATTTCGGAAATTACCGTAATCTTTCCTTCAGATTTTGTCTGATTCATTGATAATCCCATTCATTTAATGTTTAAACAAAGAAAGTTTCAAGTTATTTCGTTACCCGTAAGAAATCTCTGGGCTAATCACTCTATTCACCAGGGTTTTTCTTTAAATTCAGTTTGTAAATTGCATTACAGAAACAGAAACAAATAATCACTCACCCAGAGAATAAATTGCACAATTCTTGGGCATTTCCCACGGATTACACATCCATTTCCCGCCGTCGCTCACGGCGCCGATGCGCACGAGTGACTGACACCAAACCTGATTAAGGATCGTTGTTTATTTACCACCAAAGTGGTAAATAAACAGTTTCGAAGTGGATCTAGCCTATTTTGTAGCAAATTTTTCGCTGATTCCGAATATCTAGATCTTTTGTATGAAATGGGTTCAAATTTTTCCATTTCAATTCGTTTGTAGTTGCATCAAATGTGCTTTTGCAAAGAGCAAAAGTTTTACCCAAGTTCGTGCGCGAACTAGGGCGCAGCGCACTTACCGCTTGGCTACGATGAGATATCTTCGGAGAACGCAAGATTACTTGATACTCGCGCGGTCAGATAATTAACGCAACATTCAAAAACTGCTTTTTTTTTAAAACACAAACTTCAAACAGATTTCAAACAGACAAATCGAAAATTTGAACCCATTACACACAAAAGAACTAGATATTTGGAATTAGCAAAATAGCAAAATTTGCTACAAAATAGGCTAGGTTCCACTTTCTAAAAGGCACTTATTTTAGGCAAACGACCGTAATCCTCCTTTTTCATTCGATCACCTCAATTTTGGTCAAATTCGATAGTCAATGATACCAAAATGATACCAAAATTGGGCTAATCGAAGGGGGTGGGACAAATGCGACCTTTTTTGCGCACCTGGACATTTGCGCACCTTTTTTTACTGGAAAAGGCCTTAGGAAATGTCGTAGAGCTTCAAAAATGTTTTAATATAGGGGAATCGTATGCGTAGATTTTGAATTTCGACAAATCAGATCTCGCTGACACGTCAAATTTAGGCTAAAAGACAAAAACTACGCAACTTAACGCTTTTCCGCAGTTTTTGCCTTTTAGCCCAAATTTAACGTGTCAGCGAGGTCTGATTTGTCGAAATTCGGAATCTACGCATACGATTCCCTTATCTGGAAATATTTTCGATGCTCTACGACCTTTCCTAAGGCCTTTTCCAGCAAAAAAAAAGGTGCGCAAATGTCCAGGTGCGCAAAAAAAGGTCGCATTTGTCCCACCCCCCTAATCGAATGAAAACTGGCGCTGGGATTGGTAGTTTGTCTACCAAATGGATGCCTTTTAGAGAACTAAAATTTTTGTATTCTTTTCCTTTCACAAACCTCTGGGACGAGACCGTTGTAGAGATTTGCCCAATGCCAGCCGAAAGTCGTTTTGCCTTGATGCAATTCTCTAGAAATTCAGTTGTTATCAATTTAGAAATAGAAATATGAAAATGTCAAAAAATTGCACAAATTCAAAAAGATCACCTAAACAATTGGAGTCGCGTCTCTCGCGTGTCATTGTAATGTTTTCTCATTTTTTCAAAACCAACTCTAAGTCGATCCCACGAATTGTTGTCTAAATTTGTCAAAGTCATGAGTAACGCATATCCTAATTTAATATTTTTATAAAGTTTTTTAAGGGTTTTTATAATCAGCCATTATAGTCATTAGCCATCAGACAGACAGACAGACAGACAGACAGACAGACAGACAGACAGACAGACAGACAGACAGACAGACAGTCAGGCATTGCTCTTATATATATATAGTAGATTAGAAAGAAAACATTTCATAGTATATTAATTATAAAACAATCCGAAAAGTGCATTGATTGTTAAACAAGGCTGACCAAAAGAAGAGGCTGACTCGAATTCAGAGTTAAATTTCTAAAAGCGACCGGATTACTGTAGATCTGTACAACTGTAGTCTAACTAAAAGCTACCATAAGTCTCATTCCTTTCCATACCAACCTTTCCTCGTTACTTCAACGCTTTTCTCGTTTGTTGTCGTATCATCAGAATTATAATGCAGAAAAACCATCCAGACCAACAGCCCCAAGCCGCAAAGGATCACAAATTTGATGAGTTTCATAAAAGATATTCAGCTAGGGGCATTAAAAGGTGTTTCAAAAAAATCGCAGAACCCCAGTCACAGATCGTAAAACTTAGGGTGAATATGCAGAAATGTCTTCACGTTTTGCCATTTTAGAAATAGCTTATCAGGGTGCGATTAAAAAGCGGAAAGGGAATAAATCGTTTGCAAAAGCAAAAAGAAACATAAATGCAGACGGACACCTATGCCCAAAAACTTGCAAAAGGGGATGAGTGTGGACAGTGCACTTGCAAAAACCACTGTCATTTCTGACTTTTAAATCCGATCCTGATCAAGTCCATTGTCAGATAATTATCCCAATCTCGCTCATCATGATAAATCTTTATCTAAACCTAGGTAATAAATCGGAAAAAATTCAAATAACAACAAAAAACCACTTAAAGGAAACCCGTATGCATCGGGTAAAGAGCAAGCTTATACGAATGGAAAACGGGGTGAGAAAATTACAAGGAGAAGAATCTGAAAGGTAAAAACTCAACCATATGATGTTCATATAAAAAAGAAATTTTATGAGAGTCAAAACTATATCAGCTAAATAAAATGACTACTTCATAAAGATAGGAAATCAATTTCACTTTCAATTCATCGCTCGATTTTCTTCACCACCAAATAGGCGCTATCGGGATCTATTCGCTTGTAGTATTTCTCGACGACATCACGAATTTCGAAACCGTTTTTCTTGTAGAAGTCAAGAGCCGTCTCATTGTTAACCTAAATTGGAAAATTTAGATTAGACAACCTAAAGGTTTGTCAGATTTCAGAAACGTTTACGTTTTAACCTCACTCATTCAAATGGAAATATATAAACCAAAAAGATTTTAAGAACAAAATTTTACCTGTACATGCAAAAAGACATTTGTAATGGCATGATCGTTTTTGCAAAGATCGAACACGTGCTCCAACAACATTCGCCCAATTCCCAAGTTTCGGTATGGCGCCAACGTGCCCAACGTCATGATGTAGAGACCCTAAAATACATAGATTAAAAAGAGAAGAAACGTAACAGGTAATATTAACTACGGAAACTAGCATAAATTATCGCGTACCTTCCCTCCCTCAAATGTGTCGTAGCGGCAGCAAACGGCGCCCACAACGATATCGTTAAAATAAGCGTATTTGGCCAATTCACCGGCGTTGATAATTTCCCTGTAGAATTTGTCGTTGTAGACTACTGGAAAGACAGCCTAAAAAGAGTTTCCTTTAAGATTTTCAACAATGGTAGCTACTAAAGGCTTTACTAAAATCTTTCCACCTAGTCGCAAAGCAGATAAACCAGCCACATTAAGAATATTAAAAAATTTAGATTGTTGACGCAAAATTCTCTTGATTAATTCCAAACCTGATTAAGCTTTTTGAGTTGCTGCACGTTGTGTTGAGTGACATCGCCCAGCTCCATGTCGCTTCGTCCGATGATTTCGTGGCTTAGGTTCAAGTCCAAATCGTCAAACTCTTCGGCCACAAGAGCTTCCATTACCCTGAAAGAAAAATTTATGAAATAAACATCTATTTACAAACACGAAAATAATTTCTAAGCGGGACTAAAAGAAAAATAATCACAGAACATAAAATGCTGCACCACAGGAAATTTATTTAAGACTTCTGCTTCGTACATCTTTAAGAGACCTGAATTGACTTTGTCCCAAGAGGGTACACCGGAAATATTCCAAAGTTGATTTGAATGTTCATGGAATGGGCCCGTTTTTGTCTCGTTTATGTACACAATTGCCTCCAAAAATAGTGACTTCTTCTCGTTTTCTTGAGCTCTTTCCGGAATCGGGTAGGAGTCGGGGCTGAAATCGGTGTTTCGCAGTTGTGAAGAGCCCCATAAAAATGGAACAAATTGATAATCGTCCAAACTGTGCACTCCATGTGATCCAGCGGGCTCCATTTTATAGGTTCTTTGCAAGTGTCGACAAACTCGAAGATACTCTCCAAACAAGACGATTCCGATCGCCGCTGAATCCTCTTTCGTGAAAAGACCAATCTTTTCCAAGCACAACAAAAGAATCAGAAACGCAGCCTCGTGTCCAGATCCATAATCGATTCTCGTTTGATTCCCAAATGAGTCCAATAAGTAGGGATAGAGAATTTCCTCGGGTGATTCGGCGTCCAAATCTTCGGTAACTTCTTTCAGCAATCGTTTCGCGTTTTGTTGCAGTTCATCATACCACTTTCGGAAAGCCTTATTCCCGTATCGTTGCATCATCTCCTCTTCTGGCGGGTGTTTAGTGGTCCAAGATTTCACCTCTTCGAGAATTTGGAGCACCTAAATCTTTCAGAATTATGAACTTCAAACTTCTGTTTACCATTTCCTTGCCCAAGATATTAATACGTACGTTTTTAAAACGTTAATTAGAAAAAGACCGACACTACGGATAACCATCAAAAAAAACTGCTCACCTTTTGCACTCCAGGTGACTGTGGGATCCATTGACTCGTCGAAACGCCAACAATCGACTCATTGATTCGACGCAAGAAGTCCATGTAGTCGTGAAAAGCCTTTGAACGTTTCCATTTGACCAAATCGATCGGAGAGCGGATCATTTTTGTGGCTGGTGCACTCGACGAGTGTTGTTGAGTCGGTTGAGCGTCGCCTTTCCCATTTTTCTCTACTTCGGACGACTCCATGTGACGTTATCTGAAGAAAAAGATTTAAGAAAGCTTTGTTTAAAATGTTAAGACCGGAAAACGAAAAACAAAATTTAAAGTGCAGAAAAACATGAAAAGGAGAGATTCCTAATGCAGTATGTCTATTTCGTTAGTTCGTAATCTGTATGAACACGTAGGCAGCCTTCTCGTAACACCTTGTTTATATTTTTTGGGTAATGATTATGAGAAAAATGTTATCGGTTTTCATTTTGTTATTACACTTTATGTTTGATATGGGGAGTAGGACAAATGCGACCTTTTTTTGCGCACCTTTTTTTCCGCACTTAGCCCATTAGCGCACCTTTTTTCGCGTTTTAAAAAAGCTCTAAAAGCTAATATTAACCAATTTCTATTCCAAAAGTTGTTTTTCTAGGTAATTTTAGGGCGTAGAATCGAAATTTTGGCATATCAGAGCTTGTGGAAGCGAACGGACGGAGTTATACAAAGAGAAAAATCAACAATTTTCTGTAATTTGACCTAGCCGTTTTGTCTTTCAAATTGGTTCCTCTGTTATGTCAAAATTTGAATTCGACACCCTCAAATTACCTAGAAAAACAACTTTTGGAATAGAAATTGGTTAATATTAGCTTTTAGAGCTTTTTTAAAACGCGAAAAAAGGTGCGCTAATGGGCCAAGTGCGGAAAAAAAGGTCGCATTTGTCCCACTCCCTTGATATGCACCTTTTCAAATGAAAAATGATCCAGATTTAACACAGTAAAACACAAACCGGTAAAATACGATTTTTAAAAATTCTGTCAGACGGATTTCATCGGATTCGGAAGCATCGTAGTTTTTTGAGTCGTTTAAGCTATCTTTCATCAAAATCGTATCGAAAACACTTTTTGGCTTTTTCCGTGCGGATGTGGACATCAAGCTGCTTCAAAAGCGGCTTCAACAGCAGCAAGCACACAAAACAATTTCAGTTTTTACACTTGAGAAAAGTATCAGGCAATATTTTTACATTTCATGCATTTGTTTGTTTTGAAAAGATATATTCAATGTTTATTACAAACGGCCCATATTCAAAAGTCATATAGAAGCGGTTGTCATAAATTTGGGGCTTTTGATTGCGGGAGCGACGCTTATTGATTGAAGAGTTTATTTGTAAGGAGAGAAGTATCCCGAAGTCGTGCCAGCGTCTGCTCCACCCGATCCACCAACCGTGAAGTAGGATGTGGATTGTCCACCAATGGGATTTCCACCGCCGCCACCACCAGTCTAAACAAAATGAATGAGTTAGTTTTAAGTTTCAAATAAAAATTTCAAAATACTCACCTTGGCTGGGGTGCCTTCTCCACCGAGTCCGAAGTATGCAGATTGTGCGCCACCTCCCGTTGCTTGACCAGGCGCAGCGAAATAGGCCGACGTAGCTGCTCCTCCACCAGGGCCCGTTGCAGGAACGGGGGCTTCAACCATCTTGGGAGCTAAACGCAAAATAAAAACAAATAAGAAAACACGAACAAACCTCCACCGGGTGCTCCTACTCCACCGCCTGGGTGTCCAACAGCTGTCATGGTCGATTGTCCTCCGGGGACTCTAGTGGGCCCTAAAATCAAAAGTCCACGAAACCAATAATAGAATCATTACCTCCAACAGCGGTCATCGTCGATTGCCTACCATCAGCAACGGGTCCTCCAACAGCGGTCATTGTTGATTGGGGGGCCATCGGTGCTAAAATAGAATATAAAAGAGGGCAACTTAAGTAAGTAAATGCAAAAAGCTAACTACCTCCTCTCAAGGCTGTCATCGTCGGCTGTACTCCTCCAAAAGGGGCTCCCACAGCAGTCATCGTTGATTGGCCGGTCACCGGTGCTAAAAGTAGGCAATAATCTAGGACATAAGATAACTTTTTACCTCCTCCAACTGCCGTCATCGTTGAGCGTCCAACTCCAGGAGCGGCACCAACAGCTGTCATCGTCGAGCGTCCAACTCCAGGAGCGGCACCAACAGCTGTCATCGTCGAGCGTCCAACTCCGTCAACTGGGGTAACTGAAAAAAGAACAGAATGAACAAGGGAAGATCCCAAACCTCCACCAATAGCAGTCATCATCGAGCGGCCTCCACTAGTCATCGGCAATCCTCCCACCGCAGTCATCATCGGTTGTCCGCCACTGGGTGGTGGCACTATAAAAAAGGTACTTTTTTTACTTTGTCCCCCAAACATCAGAAATTTTCAAAAATTTAACAAAATGCAACTTTTAGAAATTAACCATTAAGTAGGAAAATTTGCATGCATTCTAAACATATTAACATATGATTTGTATTGTTAGAAAAGGTTAAAAAAAGGTTTAAAAAGTGAGGTTAAAGAAGGAAATAAAGAAGAATACGGAACATCGCGTTCGCTTTTCGCATCTTATATTCAACAATTCATGTGGTTCAAGATGTTTAAGGGCGACGTTATTTTCTACAACTTTTGAATGCAAGTGAAAGAAGATCATTCATTGGAATAAGTATATTATTGAGCTTCAAGATATTATTTCACGAGTATTAATAAATTTGCATTTAAAGCAGTCAAAAATTTTGCCTGATGCTTGGGGGGAGAACAACGTAAAAAAGTACCAAAAAAATTTTAAAGCTGTCAAAAGCAATAAAAAAGAATCACAAAATTTACCTCCTCCCACAGCTGTCATCGTCGAACGGCCTCCACTAGTCATTGGCAATCCCCTCATCATCGATTGTTCGTCCTTGGGTGGTGGCACTGTAAAAAAACAAAATTGAAAAGCTGCCAAACGCAATAAAAAAGAATCACAAAATTTACCTCCTCCCACAGCAGTCATCGTCGAAGCTCCTCCACTGGTTGGTGCTGGTGCTGCAGGCATAGGGGCGGCTTGAGGGGCTCCACCAGTTGCGGCCGGGTTGTTGTAGGCTCCGACGGCGTAGTAGGCCGATTGATTTTCAGCAGCTGGCTGCGCTCCGACTCCAAAATAGGCTGACTGCGCTCCGGTACCACCAGCAGGGAGCTAAAAAAAATTTAATGAGTGCGTAAAAAGTTTAAGTGTCAATTGACAAAAAGCATAATTAATTTTAAGCTAACTTATAAAATCCCAATGGACATAAGAGCTGGCTTCTATAAACCAACAAACGAAAAAACCTATAAGCTAACTTATAAAAAGCCAACTGGCAAGAATAAAATCAACCCTTTAAGAGCCAATGGGCAAAATGTAAAAACAAAACAAAAGCAGCAAAAACTCACCGCTCCTCCAGTTCCAGTAGGCTTTGCGACTCCTCCAGGTGTTGCTCCAGGGGTGAAGTAGGCGGACGTGTTTCCAGGGTTTTGATTGGGTCCTCCCGAGCCGGTTCCAAGATAGCAGGACGTCATCGCAAAGAGAATCTCGAGTTGCTAGACGATATGATGATTTCGCGTCTGAATCGTCGCTTTTTATTTGACCCATAAATGCAAATTTAGCCGTTTTCGGTCAAAAATTAGCCAGCGAAGTATGCAAATTAACAAATTGAAGTTTTTAGGTTACATGTGGTTGAGCTCTTTCATGCAATGAAGACAAAATCAATCGTGCTCTCAACTTACAGAGAAATCCTTTCCAAAAACTGAACAAAACTTTAAAACTATTCTCTCTCTGAAGCCCTCTTATTACAGGAATTACGATAGGTCTCTAAAAAGTTTATTTTCCAAGCAACGAGAACATGAAATACTGTGCAAAAGAATAATTTTTCAACCTTTTTCCTTGAATTGTTCAGGCGTTATCGACGAGTGGCTCGGGAAGTCCATTCGGTGGACGTGGAGGCCCATCATAGTCGGGATTGACTGTTCCGGGTTGATTGTTTCTTTCTTCCACCCTCTCTTTTCTCGCGTCAATCACCTGCTTCAGTTTCTTCATCGATGGCTAAACTAAGAGAAATTTTCAAAAAGCTTATGAAAGCTATCACTTCAACAATTCGCAAGAATTATCATTTACCCCAAAAATTTCATTCGACTCAAGGTCTGATAAAAACTTACAAACTCCATATCAACGTGTGTTGGTGGACGGTCTTTGTAAATTCCTATGCGTTCATATGGCGTTCCCTTATTCATCTTCGACTGAAAAAACCCGTAAAAAGAAGAAAAGGGGTAAATTAAACCTGAACCATCGCTACGGCCAGACGCGCAACTAAACGAATATCCGGATGGTTGAAGCTATCTTTTGCCGGCACGGCCAACTAATGATAAAAATGATGCCTGCAAAAAAAATAAAACCCCACTTTGATGTCAACTCTTTCCATGTCCTTTACAGCGTATCTCATTGCACCGTCTTTTACACCGGGATTTTCATCGGCACCGGGCTGAAATCGCGGCATGTATATTGTAGTTGTTGCTTCTGAAGTCGGAATTGTGGTTCGCATTAAATCCGCCAAAGGGACTGCGGTTGTGCCCGTGGTTGGAAGCTTTGTGGTGCTAGAAGTCGTTGAAAAGTTTGTAGTAACAGAAGTCGTATTCGGTTTTGTAGTCGTTTTCGTTTCAGTGCTTGGGTTCGGCTTCGTTCCTGTTGACGTCGTAAAGTCTGCCAAATTCACGACAGTTTTCGTAATGCTTGAAGATGACCCGTTCGTTGGAAGCATTTTGATCTCATCAATCGTGGTCGGTCGAGTTACAACAGACGACAAACTAAATAAAAAAAGATTAATCTGTAAGCCTCCAGCTTTGACATTGTTATATCTTTGATCTAATATTTAGACAAAGTTCTTAGTTTTCTAACTTTAAACTCAATTTACTAGAACTTCAGTCCTTTATTTTATTTTTCGTAGCCCAAATAAAAAGTCCAAGTGAGAAACGATTAAAACCCACGAGAGAAGTCCAACGACGATGAACAAAAGTAGAACCATCCTTTAAATTTTGCAACAACTCGATGAAGTGAGTGAGATGGAAGATTTGAACTGAACAAAATGAAACTATCTAATTGTTGTTTTATTTTTAAATCGTTCCGTTGAATGAAAATCAAATTATATGTAGATGAGGATGGAAAAACATGGTCCCAACAAGTTAATCATCAAAATATATACAGTATGGGACGTGAATCTTTAAAAAATAAGTTCATATAATATTTATTCATTAGTACATTTTGCAAACATTATTCTTTTTCTTCGAAGAAGCACTTCTATTTATTTTCCTTTTCTTTATCCTTCTCGTTTTCTTCGTTTTTGTCTTTCTCCTTTTCATTTTCGTTGTCTTTTTCCTTCTCTCGTTTTTTGGACATCTGTGATTTCTTGTTGCTCTTTTCGGTGTGTTCCACCTAAAATCATCGAAATTTTATCTTAATGCCGAAAAATGACTCACCTCCAACGATTTGATCTTCTCAAGGGTGTCATCCTCATCGCTTTTTTCTTGGTAGAAGCCATCAGCAATCTTTTTCTCTTTCTCCTAAAAGTAATTGATTGAAGTTCAAAGCAACAAAAATGTTTACCTTTTTTAACTCCTCTTGTCTCTTCTTCTTTTGAGATGCCGTTTGTTCTTTTGCGTCGGGATAGTCCTTCTTATCACCACCATCTTTGCCATCCTACAAAAAACTTAATTGAACAACTTGTAAGCATACCTCTTTCTTCTCCTCTTTTTTCTCATCTTCTCTCTTCTCGGCTTTTTTGCCATCCTTGGGCTCTTCCTGAGGATCGTACTGAGGCTTCGATTGAACCGATTTTGCGGGTGCCTAAAATAAGAAATAAGTATTTACAAAATAAAGAAATACTCACGGCCACGGATTTTGTTGGCTGTTTGGGCACATTGGGCTTAAATGCTGTCTCTGCCGGCTTCTTCTTTCCACAGATCGTCAAGGAGTAGATGGCAAAGAGGCTACTTGCAGTAACCCAGCACAATTCAAGACGATAATCCTAAATCAATAAACATGAGTGCAGCGGGCTATGCCACATTTTAAATAACCATTATTTAAACAAATTATACAAAAAAAGAGCAATAACATTGCGACTCACCATTATCCATCGATAGAGAACCATTACGAAGAAGAGTAGCAGCAGCGAATAGGTAGCTGAAGATAGAAAGAGTGAAAATGAAGCGCACAGCCACATTTAACTTTTTATATAAAGTTTAAATGCAAATTTAAAAATGCTTTGCGTGGAGCTACGTGGCAGTTCTTTTTAATGGAATTTGCCGGAAAAGTCAAAAAGTATTCAACAAATCCATTTAAAATTTGCATAAAGCATTCGAGATTTTGCATTTAACGGTCAAATTTAAAATATCAAAATGTTCGAAGCGCATCATTCTTTCCATCTCGTCTTCTTCTCATCGGATCATCGAAGAAGAACCAGCAATCAAGAAGATGTCCATTTTGCCGACCACCCGTTCGACGCCTCGTCAGCCAAATGGAAGCCCATCACTCTCCGACCAGCAACATCATGATTCAGGTAGCGATTTTGCAACTTTGTTACTTTTGTTGTTGTCCCTAGTGAATGTAGATTTGTTGTATGGTTTTGTAGTTAGATAGTAGCTTTGTTTTTAAGTTTGTTGCTTCTATTCGGAACTATATTTTACCCTAAGAACTTTTTACGCACCATAAACTAGCCTATTGCCCTATTTTTAACGTTCTTGGTTCCAGGTATGTACCAAGACGAGGCACTGATGACCGCAATCAGCGAAATGCGCTCACTAGGTGGGTTGCATTCCAATTTTCTGTCTTTTTGAGGTGATAAAGGACGGGTAGTGGTGATTTGTGATGGGGAAGCTTGGCAGCTTATCCTAGGGAGCGAGTAGGGACACTTGGAGATATAGTTTTGCTTATTTTAGGCATCCACTCACCCGAGCACCTCTCATCACAACGCAAATCGTCACCCTTGTCATCTGAAAGAATCACTGGAAGTCCTCATGACCTCTCGCCACCACTTTTGCAGGTATTTATTTTGGTATTTAAGCACTGAGGTTGTTAAGGGTTTAAGCTGCTTATAGAATGGTTGGTCTTAAAAAATTTTTTGCTTTAGGAAGTGGCATGCATGAATGTGAGAGAGATTGCTTCCCGTCCTAACATTGGCACTCTTGGACGACAGTTGGCCGTCCGTTCAAATTTCTTCGAGATTGGTCTTAGCAGCGAAAAAATGATGATTGTTCAATATCACGTGGTTGTCCACCATCCTGGATCAAGAAAACTCGATCGGTAAGCACCATTTTGCCAATCGTTTTCATGCCGGGTATTTTTAGTGACGAAAACCGAGCAATCTTCTGGCAAGCTGTCAACGATCATCCCCAAGTGTTCACCAATCGATTTGCCTTGGCCTATGATGGAGCTCATCAACTTTATGCACCGACACGGCTAGAGTTTCCTGAAGGACGTACTCAAGTGAGTAATTTTATTCAATTTAGCTATAAGATAACTAGGTGCCTTATTGCTCTGGTTATGTTTGCATTTAGTATCGTTTCGAGACGGAAGTGTTGCTGGCCAAAGATTCAAGGGGAACCCATTGTGCAATCACCGTTCAATGCGTTGGACCAGTGATGATTGAGATGCGACGCACGTGCACAAAGAACTTGGACGAGCGTGTGCTCACGCCAATTCAAATTATCGATATTGTCTTCCGCCAAAGTCTCACCTGTCCATTTATCGAGTAAGATTTTACATGATTTAAAACATGAAACATTGAAGCAAACCTATTTTTTTATTTTAGCAATTCACGCAACTTCTATGCCTGGAAGTCTTCTTGCTATCGCATTCCGATCAACGGTGGCCAAGCTTTAGATTTGGAGGGTGGAAAAGAAATGTGGACTGGCTTCTTCTCATCGGCCCACGTCGCCTCCGGATGGAAACCTCTGCTGAACATTGATGGTACTAAATATCATGTTGTTCTTATTTAGATCGTTTTTAGTGGCACATACCGCTTTCTACAAAGCCAAGATCTCGATGGTGCAATTCATGTGCGAAGTGCTGAACGAGCGAGCTGGAGTGCATACAGCAAGGGGACCTGGCGGGCCTCCAATGGGACCTCGAGGATTGCCGCCTGGACACCCTGCTTATCGTGGAATGCCATTTGGTTAGTTCAGTTCATTAAAACTAAACTATATTCTTACGTTTAGGACGCCCAGGTATGCCACCAGGACCTCCTCCAGGAATGGGTGGACGATATCCAATGGGACCCGGAGGACCATACGGGCCGCCTTCATCACAACGACGCCCTGATGAATGTGCCGCACTTACGGTTTGGAGTTGCGGATTTATCAGGAGGTTATTTTGTCGTTTAGCCAGAAACGCTTTACCGTGATTTTCAACTGTCAAGTCATGAGCACAAGATTCTTGCTGAGGCCGTCAAAGGAATTAAGGTGTGTTTTGTGTTGTATTAATTTTTTTGTAAGCTTACTTTAGATTCGCATCTCTCACCGCCCTGGCGTTGTTCGTGTCTACCGTGTCAATTCCCTTCAAATGCCTGCTGATCAAGTCACGTAAGTTTGTATTGTGATTTCTTAACCGACTTGTTTAGCTTCAAAAGCAAAGATGAAAACGGAGTGGAATGCAAAATGACGGTGGCTGACTACTTTGGACAACGATATCGCCCATTGATGTTCCCGAAGCTACCATGCCTTCACGTTGGACCACCACAACGATACATTTACTTCCCCCTTGAGGTGTGGTTTTGCTCTCAGCTTTGTTTTATATTACTTTTAAAAAGTAAAAGATATGATTTAGGTTTGTACCCTGGATACGCCCCAAAAATACAACAAGAAACTCAGCGAGAAGCAAACGAGCAGCATCATTCGGGTGAGTTCTTAGTTTTCTAACTTTTGATTAAGAGATTTTTAATTTCCAGGCGGCCGCAGTTGATGCTCAACAACGTGAGCAACGTATCTCGGCCCTTTGTGAACAAGCTGCCTTCCATAAGGATCCATTCCTCAAGTAATCTTTTTGTCGATATTATGTAATCTTTTAATCTTTGTCATTTTAGAGAATTTGGGCTTTCCATTGTTCCAAAGATGTTTGAAACCACCGCCCGAGTCTTGCAGCCACCAGCCATCATGTTCGGAGATAACAAACGTACGGTAAGAATTTTTGGATTATACTGAAGGATTCAAACTTGCAATGAGTTTATTTTTAGAACCCAATCGTTGTGCCAAAAGATGGAGCTTGGTCAATGGACAACCAAACACTTTTCTTACCAGCCTCTTGCAGCTCCTATTCGATGATCGCTTTGGTGAACCCTCGAGACCAAGCCCTGCTTCAAACTTTTTGCCAATCACTTCACAGCAAGGTTTGAATTTTAAACTACCGATACAATACGATGTTTAGGCTACTCAAATGGGCATGGAATTCCCTCGTTGGCCAGATCTTGTCAAGTACGGCCGTGGTCGTGACGATGTTTCACTGCTCTTCAAGGTAATTTTGGTCATTCGTTTGATTCAGATTCAATTTAGGAAATTGCAACCGAATACAAGCAGATAGGAACAAACTGTGATCTGGTGATTGTCGTTTTGCCCGGAAAGAACTCGGATATCTACGGTAAGGACCTTTAATTGGTTGAGCTGTCGGGATTTTATTATTGCTTGCTTGTCTGACTGTTTAACTTTAGCCACCGTGAAGGAGTGCTCGGATATGATTTACGGAATCATGTCTCAATGCTTGCTGCTGAAAAATGTTCTCCGTCCATCTCCAGCAACTTGTTCGAACATTGTGCTCAAGGTGATTTCCTTCTGAGCTATTTTAAAATTCTTTCATTTAGATCAACATGAAGTTAGGAGGAATCAACTCGAGACTTGTTGCCGACGCTATCACTCACAAGTCTGACTGGTGCTAAGTAGTTGCTTATCCGTGTGCTTTCAGATACCTTGTAGATGTGCCAACTTTGGTCCTTGGTGTTGACGTTACCCATCCCACACAAGCCGAGGAACGACTCAACATTCCTTCAGTGGCTGCAGTGAGATTTTTGGAGGCTTTCCTAGTCACCACCATCATTAAAAGATTTCGAAGCTATTATTTTCTTTAGATTGTCGCCAATCTTGACCTCTATCCTCAAACTTATGGAGCCAATGTGAAAGTGCAGCGGAAATGCCGTGAATCGGTCGTTTACCTCCTCGATGCCGTTCGTGAACGTCTTGGTATATTTACAATGTGATTCTTTTTTATGAATATCTTATAGTCTCATTCTACAAGAACACACATCAGAAGCCCGAGAGGATCATCGTTTACCGTGACGGAGTGAGTGAAGGACAATTCGCTGAAGTGCTTCGAGAGGAGATTCAAGGAATCCGTTCAGCTTGCCTCACGCTTTCCAACGACTATCGCCCACCCATCACGTAAGCTTTCAACACCCTCATTATTAGAAACGTTTCGTATTTAGCTATGTTGTTGTGCAAAAGCGCCATCATGCACGCTTGTTCTGCAAGTTTGGCAAGGTTTGAGCATCTAACGTTGTTGTTAATATGTACGTTGTGTTTAGGATACTGTTGGAAAGGCAAAGAACATCCCGCCTGGCACCACTGTCGATACAGGAATTGTCTCTCCCGAAGGATTTGACTTCTATTTGTGCTCGCACTTTGGCATTCAAGGTTATTTTACTTGGTAATGCTACAATGCCAAGATTTTAGGAACATCGCGCCCAGCCCATTATCTTGTGCTTTGGGATGACAACAACTTTACTGCAGATGAGATGCAAGCGATCACCTACAGGCTAGTTTTTTTTCAGATTTCCTTTAAACTTGTCTAGAAGTTTTAGCATGTGCCACACTTATGGCCGATGTGCTCGTGCCGTGTCGATCCCAGCCCCTGTGTATTATGCGGATTTGGTGGCCACTCGTGCTCGTTTTCATATCAAACGCAAGCTGTAGGTTTTTTTTGTGAATTTTAATGTTGCTTTTTAGTGGAGTGCATGATAACGAGAGTGTCTTGGAGACAGGATCGGTAGTTTCAACTCTCTCATCATTGATGAACATCGGACGCAGACCAGGACAAGCAAATCAGCGCCGCTCGGGGGTTGATGGAGGTAGAGAGAATTTAATGAAGATCCCTGGTGTTTCGCTAATTTGAATCAATAACATTTTTAGGTGAGCCACAGCAGCAGCCGGAAATGAGCGGGGCTCGTCAATCGAACAGTGATGCGGCACTTCAAGACTGCGTGGCCGTCGCCGAGAAGTTCAAGTCGAGGATGTACTTCGTCTAAACCCGATTTCCAAATTTTGTGCTTTTACATTCCTCTCGTTTCTTGTAAAAATCGATTCTCCTTTTTTGTGTGATTTCAGTCCCAGTTTTTGTGCTCTTTCTTGCCTCGGTTTTGGGTCCTTGTCCTTCATTCATGGCGAGGTTTAATTTTTTTGGGAATGGTGGGGAATAAATTCTTTGAAAAGACACCCTCTTAATTTTGAAGGCTGGTGTGGATTGCTCATCACTATTTGTTTGATCACTCACTATTATCCGAAGAAAGTTTTGAATGAAAAAGTTTGGCCTTTAGGCACTTTATTTGTTGATTAGCTGATGTAGGTACCGTAAATACTTTAATAGAAGGTCACCGGTTCGTACAGTCGCGTAGTCTAACTTTTTAGAAAATCGTTTTTTCTCTCAGCCGCTAGATTTTTCCCAATTACACTTTTGGTACCAAAAAATACTGGCTTTTAAGAGCTATCATTTGACGCCCAGGTGCTCACTGTAGCATAAATGGAGCGTCTAAAGTTAGACTACGCGGCAATACCCTGTCGTTATGGGGTTGGGGCGCTACTATTACGGGTATTACGGTAGCAAAAGTTAGGTATTCAGTTTTATTGATGGTCCCTTTGTATGGTTAAAATGATATTTTGTTCTGTTTGTTTAACTTCTCTGTTTTGCTTTAAACGTTCTGAAAGTTTGCGACTTAGGGAGTGGGACAAATGCGACCTTCTTTACGCACCTATTCGCCCATTATAACAAGGGCTGCCCTAGACCCACAGAATCGTTTTTAGCCCCACTTGTTCACTTTGTGTATAGTTGGATTCCTATTGACACGCAGTTTTAAGGGACTGGGGCAGTCTAGGGTAGTTTTTGTTATAATGGGCGACGAGAAGGTGCGCAAAAAAAGGGCGCATTTGTCCCACTCCCTAAGTCGCAACTCCCGCGACTTCAACTCTTTCTAGTGTTTTGTAAAAATTTCTACGATTTTTTGCTTTTAGCCAGAATGTACACTGAAGTGAAAGAGTTGGTCAACCTCATTGCTAGGTTGTTGCTCACAAAAGTTCCAAGGACCAAGGTGATTGCATCTCTTTATTCAACGATTTCAACTTTTAGGTGTGTATCTTTGCCGAGTATTACGCAAATCAACTCATCCTTCGTTTTTCGGCAAATTGGGATGTCCACGATGCTGTGATTGGTACTTTGTCTTATTTGTTGCGCTGTTTTTTTAGAATTACATTTTTAGGAGACAAGATTCGCGTCTTAATTTTGCGTGATGGAGATGAGTTGGATCGAGATCTTCAATGTTCGGCTGATACCATGCTAGTGCGAAAAGACATCCTTATGAAGCAAATACCTGGTTTGTCGATTCAGCTAATTAGAATTAAGATTTTAGATGGTTTCTCGGTGCGAATTGGCCCTGGCTATGTTGGCTATAGTGTCAACGAGTGTTCACCGCTGATCCACCTCTGGAATGGACCAATCAATGCTGATGACAAGTGCCCTTTTGCCGTTAATATTATCACTTTTTGCGTTTTAGTTACAACCCTTTTCCTGAATTCGTCTTAAAGTGGCAAAGCTCAAACTCGGGAACCACAACAAACATGGGAATTGGAAAAGGAGGTTTGACCTGAGAATTTCTTTGTCTCTTTATTTCTAAAAAAAATTGCTTTAGTTCGCGGAGGGGCAATTTATGGCCGAGGAAATATGGATGATGGTAGCAAGCTTGATGTCCACGATTTTGTTCCACTTCGTTTAATCGTTCGCCCATTTTTGACTCATGGGCCTATCAACCCATATTTTCATGTGAGTTCTAAACTTTCTTCACATATCTATACCATTTAGGGATCACTTTATGAAAAATCATTTGAGTACACTGGAAAGGAAGATGCGAACGTTGAAGTTGGACATTTCGCCATGACTCGCTTTGGAAGCCAAAAGTAAGATATTAAAATCTGGATTATGAGCGGACATTAGAGTAGAACGTAGCTAAAAAGGTTATTCCTCAAATATAGGAAACGACCCGACTACGAATTGATCCAACGAATTCAACGCCAAGTCAAACCGGAGGCATCAATTGATCACGAAGGTGGTGTGCTTTTGACAATGTAAAAACTTTTTAATATAGGCATGCCACCACCGCCCCAAGCTTTTGCCGACAAACCCTCACCAGCTCCCATTCAATATCTTCCTTTCCACAGCAAGGTTGGCGTTATCGGTTATCGCCTTTTCTTATAAAATGTGATTTAGATAAAGGATAACGTGGTGCTTTGCAACTCAGGTCAGCAGCAAAATATGTTTGGATCTGCTAGCGACGTGAAAATTACGCAAGACGAGTCTTCAAATACCATGGCTTTCCTGCAGGGTATCAACAAAAGTGGTGGACTGAATGGCGCGATTAATGGTAGTTTTAGTTTCCAATTGTTTATCCACATCTTTCCAGGAGCTCAAATCATACAAAACACGTATGGCGCTTGGTGCCCAAATATTTCTCCAGTGAAAAAAACTGAGTTCCAGTGAGTAAAGAAGCTTGTGGATTTACGAGTTTTGTGTCGTAGGCTTGTGTTTTTGTTCTTGTTTGTTTGTTGTTTTGCAATTAACTACTAATTTTTCTGGAATATGAGAGTTAAATTTCCGAAGATCTGTGTATATTATTTTTTGTTCTTGTTGGTTAACATAAATTGTTGGTGGGAAAGAGGCTTGATTGAATCAAATTTGCGGTGACAGAGCACGGAACGGGATTTCGCAGTAATTGATTCACATTTAGTGAATTTACATACGAATCATGAAAACAAACTAAAAGTCTCTGGACAGAATCATTTTTTCACTTATTCATTTTCTATTCCGCGCATTTACTTTCCAATTTTCAAATGAATCGTCGATATGCTCAGGTAAATTTTGATTTTATGATTTGCTTCGCCCGGCTCACGATATCTAACTAAGTTGAATATATTGAGTGTTAACGGTGTCGTAATTCTTTCGTCTTCTCTGCAATATTTTGTTCTCTCATTGCAAAAATTTTAACAAGCCATCTTGTCCTTTTTCAGAATGTCCCGTCTACTACAACAGCGTCTACTTTGATCTCATCTGGAACGACCACTCTACTCCAACAATGTCACGGGATGCCTTTTATTTAATTAAAACTTTCAATTTTATTTTTAGAGTTTTGATGAAGAGACAATTCGCCGGTTGCAGCAAAATGTCGGCGAAACGCGGAAGATGAATGCTCAAGTGAGTTGTAATTCTATTGACACCGAATGGAAGTTGAGGTGGAAAGAGCCAAGGATGCTGAAGAAGCGAAGCAAGTCGATCTTGAAAATCATCTGCATAAAGTACATGGAAGTTTTTCCATGGTTAACTTTTTGTTTAGATTTCTGCCACGGTTAGCGAGTTTCATGATGCCATTAATAAGTCTAAGCGACGAGAGGTTTGGCTCGTCGATATCTAGTTTTAAACAATTTTTCTTAGAAAGAGCTCCTCAAGCAAATCGAATCATGGGTGGAATTGCTCAAAAGTCACAAGCAAATGGTCGGTTTTCAAATTCATTTTGCATTGAACATTTTGAAATTATTGTAAAAGTTTGCTTTAGGTGGAACATGAGGATGCGCGATTTCAAAGTGTGAGCGAGGAAAGCGAACAGTTTTGTGATGATTTGGAGTTCAACATTGACTTACTCAAGTAATTTTTTTTATGGCCCTCAACATAAATCGAATTATTTTATTTTTTTAGACGCAAGCGGATCAGCGTCGATGCATTGGTGCTTGATCTTGCTCGAACGAGGGAATATCATGATGTGAGTTTTTGTTTTTACCATTTATTTTTTCTAATTCTTCTAGACATTTATCAAACAATTGCGCAACGATTTAAAAGGACAAAAGAATGAACTCGAGGTAATTTATTATGCAATAGGAAGGTGTAAGTAAGCTGTTTTAGATTTGGGATAAACGCTTACTGGACAACAAGCAACCGTTGGTTCGCCTTGGAGATCGGCATAAAAGAGCAAGCAATGAGCTGAAACTTAGCAAAGCTCGCCTTGCAGAAAATCAGGCAAGCTTTTGAGTTTGATTCAAAGTCAAGGAGTTCGTAAGTCAATTTACATTTTCTAGGCTGCACTCGCCGTTTTGACCAGTCGCTTGAATTCTGCTCATCGTGATGGTGTTATTTCAAGTGTTTCTGAAGCCCCGAATTTGATTGTCCAGGTTTTAATTGATAATTTGCTTGATGTAAAATTTGTTTTAATAGGGTACTCTAAAACCCGTCAATCCGCAACCAATGAAAGCTCAAACGATGACACTTGCGCCTGTGTTGTTTCAAAACAACAACAACAACAAAAGGGATCGACACACTTCAGAAAGTTCGGTGGAAATACCCATGGAGGTTAGTGTTTATATGACGTGCTTTAATAGGGTGGTTTAGTTTGAATCACGCGCACCCACATACTTTGGCCACATGGCAGCATTCGAAAATCGTCCACACGAGGAGGTCCAGCAACGTGCGGTTGGTGGCAGTGAGAGCTTGCTGGTTTATCAAAGATTTAGAAGAAAAGTGGCTTGTTCATTACGAGTCAGATTCGTGAAGTATTACGCACGCATCATTCGAGCACTAACTTGTCCCAGGTTAGTTTCTTTTCTTTTACAAAATTTAATAAGTTAGATTTAGAAGAGTCCACAACTGGGAGAGAAGCAAACTAAGAAATTGATGGAGGAAATATCACCTCAAATCATGAAGAAGTCAATTGTAAGTGCAATTTGAATATTATTTTGAAAGATAAGGTATTTCCTATAAAATTTAATGCTTTTAGAAAGAAACCACTTTGACTGACCATGAATTGCGCAGTTCGGCCCAGGAAAATCGCTTCGATTCGGTATTTGCCCGCCATTTATTTTTTGAAAAGCTTTTTATTTAGGTGACAATGTCTGCCTCTCGAACCGGTCTTTTTGAGTGTCTTGGCCATGTGAACGATCCAACGCAGACCGTCGGTCAGAAGAATGAGAAGGCTCCTCAGCCAAGTCAACAGGCACAAAGATCGAAGGAAAATGAAAAAGGAAATGTGATTCAAGCTGGCCAAACTTCTCCAACACGCAAAGACGAGAAAGTGGCTGAACACGAACCTGTGCCGAAAGAGGAAAAGTCTGAAGCAAATGAAACACCGCCCGATCTGAAAGGAGAGAAGGATCCGGCAAATGGAGAAGCATCGGGACTCCGAAAAGACAAGGCTCGAGCGCATGGAGGATCGCCATCGGCTGAAGAGGCGGGCAAGGCAGAGATCAAAGCAGACGGAGAATCATCGACACCCAAAGAAGATAAGGCCCAAGCGGATGCACAAAAATTGTTGGCCAACGAAAAGAAGGCACAGGCAAATGAAAGGAAGGAAAACGTTCAACCGAGTGAAGCTGACGCTCGTGCATTAATCGAAGAGACGGATCAAGCAAACGGACAATCATCTGCGCCCAGATCGGAAAAAGTCCAAGAAAAGCAAGAGTTGCCCGTGTCTAATGGGGAGAAAGCTCAAGCTAATCGTTCTTTCGTTTTGGATAAGGTCAGTTTGTAACTTTTGTATTTTAAAAATCTTTATAAATTCCGTTAAACCTTTGTTTCTTTTAGGATCAAGTTGACGATCTTGCCGACAAGCTTCTGCGTCTCGCAAATGATGGATTACAGTGAAATTTGAGTTTGCTCAAGCCTATAAGGAGAGAAGAAGCAAATTATTAATTGACTTAACGTGCCTTGTTTGTATACTTGCTTGTGGTTTATTTCATGTACATGTTTTTAATAGAGATGTGTGCAAACGGGAACAAACTTTCAAAAGTTTTGGGGATGAAAATTAATTTCAAAATTTAAACTGCCTCTTCATCTTTTAAGGAAATTTATAAATTTGAAGTTTCGAGGTTTTTCATTCTGTAATTGATCACACCTCTGCAAACAAATTTCAGCTCATGGTCAGCTCCAGAAGCATTGATGCGTGTAAAAATCGGTCATAAATAGTTGGAAGAGATCATCGGCGACTTTTGCGTGCCGCTTGGTCCAATTAACAACTCAAAAATTTGACAGTCACAGTCAGAAAAGCCAAAATTCACAATTAACAGGTTTTGATACAGATTTTTACCCTACGTGAACTGAAAATGCTTTTGAATTTTTAAAAATGTTGTCTAAGAATGATTGGTTGCCACTTTTCCCCATAATAGCCGAAAATTTTGAAACATTTCCTTGTAAGTTTGCACTTCTTATCGTTTCTTTCTCCCACTCCTTTCCGCCATTCAAAACCCATTCCAAACACACGCTGATATCAGGGTTTTTATAATCGTAATTCTTGTTGAAACTTTAAAATGTGAAATGTTTCAGAAAATAAAAAATATTTACTTCTTCCAAAAAATCGATTTTTTGGTATTTTTTTCGATTTCTAACAAAATTTTTGGTAGAATTTGAAAGTTTGAAAAAACTTGGTTTCAACTTTGCCAGTTTTATGATTTCAATTTTAGAATATCGAACACATCTCTGACTTTATTGTAAAATTCTTTAAAAGCGTTTTCTTTGGAGAGGTTCCATTTTATTTTAGCAATTAATGATGTTTATCCGGGAGAAAAGAATTGGAAGTGACCTTTTTTTTGGGCACAAGCTGCCCTACTCATCCACTTCAATTGCCATTCACGCATTCATTTGTTTCCCTTTTGCACTAAAAATTTTAGTTTTTAAAGGATGAAATGTTTTCTGCTAAAGTAACCACACAAAAAAATGCTAGTTCTAGGGGCAAAACCGGGCCAAAACGGACTAGCCGAGAGAAACACGCTATGTCAGACTCTTTGCATCAATCTCAAGAAATTCTAATTATCGCTGGTGGTGGTGAGGGGTGACAAATATCCGGAAGGATTGTCTTTTTGTTGGCTAAAGAAGAAGAGGCAATAGCAATTTATCGAATCACCATCGTTAGTTGACAGATGGTTGGTCTTAGGATGGGGAGGAGTGAAAAGAACGGGTCTCAAGGGAGACAAGGACCCCCTTGTCCCTTCCCTTCCAATAAGCCTTCTTTTTATCCCTTCACCCCTCCCCCCAAAGGATCCCAACACTATTGGGAAATGCGGGAAATCCATCATTAAATTTGTCCCGTGTTCCCGTGTTGTGTTCCGGTTCCATTTCTATTAGGCTGAAAAAGCTATCCGTTCCTTTTTGTACTTTCGTTTAAAACCAACAAATTCACCAATTGAAATACTGTCTATTTCATCAGAAAGCCCAATTATTTTTCTTTCTTTGGATAGCCTAGTAATAATTCTGGCCCAGTCCAGCTATATCTTTTTGATTAGCTTTCTGCGATTGTTCTCCAGTGTTCCAGTGTTCTCCAGTGGAGTATGTTCCTCTGACTCTGGGCGAGTAATTGAATCAATTCTTAAATTCTTACGACACTTTTCAAGATATTTGAAGATATTCAGTTAAAGTTGCTTTCATTTTACACTGATGAGCAAGAGGAATAGATCTAGCTTTACGCAGTGGCAATATAAAGTGTGTATGTTTCAACTTTAGCATTATAAAGAAACCTTTTTGCGTTAAACCAACTTTTCTTCTATTTTTGCTATTTTTGTTTATTCAACGAATACAGCTCTTTAACCCTTTATTACTCGAAAAGTTCTATTCAATCGCATAGCTGCAAGGATTAGTCTAATTAGCTGAAACTGTCAGACTAGACCAAAGCCGACGTGATCCCTTGACTCCTAATCGATACTGACGATTTTGTTTTAAAAATGAGCAAGTTTCAAGTTAATCAGCATTAATGAGTTATGCAATTTCATTCCATTCTGTGAAATTCAATCATTTTCAAATCTTAACAGATCCATTTCCAATCGTTACCCAATACCCATAGCAGTAAAACCCCAATTCCCGCAGTTTGAGTACGAGTTGGCAACTTTTCAACCCTAAATTCTAAAATACACCTAATCTACCGTACTCGAGACGGCATCTCCCTTTCCGCCTATAAAATAAAGTTCCATGCCTTCAAAATTCATTCTTTTAAAGAATCATTGCCCGGTCTGGCGCTTCGGTATGTCTTTTGCGCGTGTATGTTCCCTTTCTCTATTCCCTTATATTTGTTTATTGTTAAAATTTCCCTCTTTCTTTTATTGTTTCCACCACTTCCATGTGTCGGTACTTGTTGAGTATCCGGGGGAGGGCAGGGGGGTCTTTCAATATCAGTAAAATTTTAAGATCCGGTGGGGTAAAATTTTATATACCTTATATACGACCCCTTTTAAAGATATTCAGCCGCTTAAGTGATTTCGTGGCAAGTTCCCTTCAAATTTAAAGATATTCAATTTATTCGAGGTGATACTCGATCAAAAGCGTAACTTCTACAAAATTTTTTTATGTCATTATTAGAAATGTTGATACTATCCGAGTTGGCGGGTCACTGTTTTTTCTTCAAAAACATTTTTTGGGGTAGTTTTATGTGTTGATATTTGGCCTCCTGGCCTAGAAGTAAATTCTATAGATTTTTACAAGTAGTATTCATTGTCACTGTTACAAATAGTCACTGTTGTACTTCACAAATTTATTTAATTATTATGTTTGGTTTATGTTTATGTTCTTGCATTACTCGATTACTTTCCCTAAAAAGCTTTCTTTTTGCAACTAAACGAGCTAAATGTGTCCTGAGTTTTGCCTAGATCAGTGGATGGTTTAGTTTTCTAATAGCTTGTTTTCGTTTCTTAATTTCAAGCGGTTAAAGTTTAGATAAGTCATCAGTTACGAGGTTCAAAAAAATCCTTTCAGTGCACATTTTGTAGAATATCAATGCCTTGTTCGATTCAACTAGGTGATTTTCAACAGGTTACCCAACCCAAAAATGTCGATATTTTTTGTCCGACCAATCTTTTACCCAAGCTTTTCCCTCTTCTCACTCGTGTTTGGCCGTTCATTCGATTTTCCCCGTTCTTTCCTTGAATCATCCCCGCTTTTCAGTGGGGGATCCATTCCCTGCACCCAGTTGTAATATCAGTTCATCCATTCATCCCCCCCCCACTTTTCATCGATGACATTTTTTATTTTTTTGCGTCCCTTATTCAAAAATATTTTCGATTTAAACCACCCCCACATTGTGGGGTTTTGCTAAAGCAAAAATGCCAAATTTTTATGATTTGAAGCTAACTATTATCTTTCCAATATTTAACTGTTAGCTAAATACCGTAAATACTCTAATAAAAACACCCTATAGGAGCGTCGCGTCGGCTAAGTCTACTCTCAAGCAAACGCTCATATCTCAACACAAGTACTTTTATTTCTGCGCATTTTCGTATCAAATTAAAATAGAGAGAATGGCTGATTTTTCAGATATTTTTTTAGATAGATTCAGGCACATATTTTTAGCATTAACCAGCGCTTAGACAAAATGATTGAAAATCGGGCTTTTTTGCCAATTTTTTTGAGTTGGGCAGTGAAAATGAGTGAATTTAGGAAAAGAATTAAACGCCATGCCTGTTTTTTGGAAACTTTGGAGAAGTTTCAGTTTTGTTTTTCTCGGAAACGCTTTAAGATTTGCATAGCAAAAAGGGGTGAGTGTGAAAATTGCCTCCATCTGCAATTCGTATAACATTGTAAAGTCTAGAGCACCGAAAACAGTTTTACAGCAAGTCCTATCTTTTCCGGATACAAATTAGGTACCGTATTTTTCCTAATGGTAGGACAGAGAAGCGTCGTGTTGTCTTTTTTGTCGTTCTTTTCAGCATTAAATCATTTTTCTTGCGAACCTCTGGACCGATTTGTTCGGGGTTTTCTAAAAAAATAGCTGCCTTATTTCTCTATTTTTTAGAAAAAAACCCGAACAAAATCGGTCCAGAAAAAAAAGCGACTGCGCGACGCTTCTCTGGGCATGTCATATTATTAGAAAAAGTGCAGTATGTTAAGTTGTTCAACTCTGTTTGAGCTTTTAGAAAGGTAGTCAATCGTCGTTTCAGATAATCCTAAGTAAAAACCCAGAGTGACTTTCTTTTTTCACCTATCAACCTAAAAAATTAGCGAGCTTGAATAGCTTGCAATGCAATTTTGCTTCTAATTTTATGTATTCAAATTACGCAATATCGATCTTTGCATATTTCCTTGCAGCTATAATTTGAAACAAGGCGTAAATTGAAATAAAATCATTGATTGCCAGACCAATGCCTTTTTCTCTTCTCTCACACACGTAACCCGATAAGCTCTTCTGTAATAGGGCCGTTGTGATCATTTTCTCTTTTTCCCCTTTTTGAAATACTTTCCTCCCCTCTCTCCCCATTCGAAATCTGGCACATCGATTTTGCCAACGAGTGCCCAAAGAGTGTTTAAAACACGTCGATCTATCAAATTTATGCGTTTACGTGTCACTGAAATTTTCTACAATTCTTCATTCGCTAGTGAACTGGATTTCTATAGAATTTCAGTTTTCCGTTATTGAAATAGTTGTAGACTTGAACAATTTTTACCGTAACTGTTTCCGTTTTTTTAAAAATTACTAATAAAAAGCAACGTTATTGTAGAAATCTCCTCACTTAGAGTATCACTTTGAAACTCACCTTTTTATGCCTTTAACAGTCAAGAAAACGGTCTTCAGGTAGATATTCTTAAAAATTGTATTGGAACCATATTTAATCAAAATAGGAACCGTATTGAAACCGTATTGGAACCGTATTGGATTCGTATTG